GATATACCGTTCTTAGTAAAGGGTACGAAGAAAGTCAGTTTTATCAGTGATTGTAGCTAATGAGCCATACACTAATCATTGTACTTGCAAAAATCGACTCGGTTTCTCTTTACTTCCGTTTACTTTGATACCACAGTATATTAACAGGTTCAATTGATCAAAAACACCCTAAAACAAACGAAATTTGAAGACAAAACAGTGAAGTCCACTCAGCCTTCGCTTGCTCTCATTGGCCTCCATGACTTCCTGATCATTTCAAACCGTATGGCGCGCACGTGAAGCGTACGTAGAAGCGGGAAACATATGTTCGGTCTCAGTCTTCGTGCGAGTCGGCAGTCAAATATCTCCACGTCGGGCGAAGAAAGATTCAAATATCCCCTCCCCCGGGAGAACAAGATCAGTCAAATGCCCTACCCCAGGGACAACAAAGACAATGAAACCCCCACCCCATGCTCTGCCCCCCCCTCCGGCTTTACATTGATAGGTGCATTAAGTTCTAGCATTGAAAATCTACGAAATGCGTTCACTTCTCGATGACGCATCATCAGGTGGCAGCTGTCTTCATGAACTGAAACTGTGAACTTGGCTGTTTCTCCATAAAAGCGGGACGCTAGAGTTTACATTGCCTTTCTTAAAATTGAAATTGTAAAGTTAAAGTAAGAAGAAAGTGAGCACTGAAGAACTGAAGTGAAAGAGTTGAGTGCTTCTGTATTTAGCCGCCCCGAGCAAGAGAGACAAGAGAGGATAAAGGGGCTAGTCCCCTCCAACTAGGTTCAAGGCTATACAGTTCTCAGGATCGCAAAAACGAAAATACACCAAAATTTGTTCAAACTCAGAGAGTGGAGAGACGAATATTTCTGGAACAAATAAGACCCACTGTAGCACCAGAACCACGCGAGGGAGACCAGTCTTTGATGTAAACACGAAGTTTGCTGCTGAATTCGCATTTTGCTGTGTATAGAAACATATGACAGGGACCGCGGAGACCATTTTAAAGTGGTAGGGCTAAAAAATCTTGCCAATACAAAGAAACATTAAGTTCAGTGTTTCGCCATTTATCTTGCATTTGCGTAGACTACGAGCAGTCTCTCTTTTCTCTCGGTCCGTCGAGCAAAACGCCTGAGACACGCTCACAGGCGCGTGCACTCCCCCTTGAAATCTGAAGAAAAAGATAGACTGCTCGCAGTCTAGCATTTGCGCGTCATCTTATTTACAGCCTCAATAAATATAACATAAACGTCATCACGTGTTATAGTATCCAGTATAGCCAATATGTTGAATAAACCTTCCTAAAATTGCTACTTTGAAGTTGTCAGCAGTGCCGAAATTTCTCTTGCGGTCCTCATTGCTGGAAACAAACTCCTGTGCGACGTCAGCTATAGAGACACTGTCTGTTCTCAGCTTGTAACTATTCAACGTTACTACTAGGTTGCTAAACCTCTCATCACCCATCCTGGATCGACGCCACGTCTTCAGACGCCGTACGTACGGATGAGAATGAACCCTCACCAGCAGCGCTAGTAATAGGATTTACAGCAAGCAGCTTACAGATAGTTTGACTGACTTCCTGTATTAGCTTCTTTTCTGGCTCTGGAAACTTTAACTCCGCCAACAGAATTTCGTCAAAACATGATATCTTCTCCTTCTTCCATAGTACTTAGTTGCCTAGGTAGTGCCCCTGTATCGCAACATCTTCCCTGTATTATGCTTCAAGAAACCGAACTCTGCCTCATAGTTGTCACCATTATCTATAGCATAAGAGCTGAAGCTTTCCTGATTAACGCGCTGATAGATAGCCCTGACGATAAGATCAATAGCCTCATAATAGGCCCGAACAAAATCATCTTTAGCAGTTTGGGGATAGCTTGGTGCACCAGCACCAACCTTCAGTCTGGCCAGAGTGTGTTCGTTTTCTTGGAAGCGTTGGTTCGCCAAGCAGGCCTTCACTCTTGCGGGCAACATTAGCATAGAAATGGTCGAAGCTTTGATCAAAGCGAATTTTTGTGAGCGTCCCCTTTGTTAGATTTGCCAGGCGTTGTCCACTTACAGCAGCCATCTTAGTACCCTGAAGATCCTTAGATAGATTATCGGTGTGGCAATAAAGGTGCTCTCCAAGATGCAAAGCAGAGAAAAAGTCAATTCACTCCATTTGAGCCTTACATCTTATTATCCTTGCACGCACATCGGGTTGTAATCGTTCTGACAAGCAAACATCCCACTCTTCCACAGGGCAAAGTCCAAGAATTCCACGGAAATTTTTTCCATGTCAACTGGAATCCTATGAAATAAATCCCAGCAATAAAAGTGGTAGGGCTATAGCCCTACCAGCACCTCCCCCTCCGCGGTCCCTGTATGGACAATAGAAATCAACAGTCTTTTCTTCAAGTTTCTTTGTCAAGCATTATTGTGCAAAAGCAAAAAAATCGAAGCCTAGCTCACTGGAATTAAACAGAACGCCGGCCCTACAAAATAGTTCAAGATTTCAAAGATTCATATCAAAAGTTCAAAGATTCGTAACTCCAAAATCTCATCAAATCTTGACTTACCTCATTCCTTGGTATTTAATGTATTCTTTTCAAGTTTGAATTTCTGTGTTGGAGATATCAAACACATAAAAACAACCGAAAACAAGCTTGATCTCGAGTGCATGCTTCGATACTACTTTGATAATAAAATTTAGGCTAAAATTCGGCTTTTACTACACGTAGCCCAAGCTAGAAATATGAGCATCAGCATTGTCAGTTGCTGTTGGATATGCATTCAAAATATAAGGATTTGTATGGGGAAAAAACCTATCGTTTCTGTAACCTAAGAAATGAAAGGATTTCAACAAAAAATGCTTACCTTACCTAAAATGTGTGTTACGTCTCTTCTGTGTGGTCCATGGGCCGAATTATGGCCGTTTTATAGGTTGTAACAGGGCAACGACCATTTTTCGCAAAATTTGATTATAAAATGTCGTAAACGCTAGCAGACTGCTTTTACGTCAACCTATGTGTTCTATTAACTTTCCTGGGAAAAAATACCCGCTGTTCACTGCTAGCTAGCAAGACTTTCAGGAAATAAAATTCCCAGCCAGCGATCATGTGTCACGGGTTTTAGCCAGCAAGCACGGTTAAAAAAGAACAATTACGCAATCCCCGCCAGCGTGATAAGGAACTTTGAAGTTTGCCAGCCCGCAAGGGTATGAGCCAGCCAGCCAGCCAGCCAACAAAGTTTCATATAATACATTGCCATGAAAAAACATATAAATTAGCAAGATCTTTGTTACGTCAGGAGCCCATGGTTACGTCATATTTACATTGAAAGAAAGGCATATTTAACCTGTTTCAACCTTTTATCTAGTTTTCGGGTTTTTTTGGAGATACAGGGAAAAGATCAGTGTACTTGTTTGGTATACATTATTCCTTATCCCTAATTATTATATGATAATAAGATATCAACTAAACATGGACATTCATCGGTACTTACAGTTTTGGAATGTGTGGACTTGAAGAGTCGTGAGTTTTTGCCAGGTAAACAATACAAAGGTAGATCCAGAACTTTGTCCATAACACGTAAACACGTAAAAAATAAGTGTTCACCGCTAAGCCGTAAGACCAATGCATATTTTAAAACGATTATCGACTGAGATGAAATAAAATTTAAGAATCAACAGCATAACAAGTAAGCTCGATCTACGCGTGGTCGCTCGGCAAAATCACAACAAATTCAGAATAGACTGACATGCTTATCGTCACCATTGTATGTCGTGCTACAAAAACTCCACACAAGGTTTACACCAGAACTGATAGAAGGTATCGTGTGAACAGGCTTTCCTGCGGAAACTTCTAACCACGCACGGCTGAAAACCACGAGCCCGCAACGTAACGTAACGTTTGTGGTCTTTAACTCGAATTGCAACTTAGAGGGGATAGTTTTCTCTTTTGTCATTTACGTTAACGCCTAAGAGCGAAAAAGGACCTTTGCTCGGTAGGAACAATACTGTTGTAGTGTAACCCGCGGTTTTCTCTCTCTATATGTACTCTGAATTTCAGACATCCTTTGAGTCGCATACTTTCTCGAGTCGGGAGTATGCGACTCGAAGGGATGTCCGAAATTCAGGCTACTGTTTTCCCAGAAGATGCAACTTTCACAATAACCGCTAACATCAGTCAAGAAAAATAGCTTAAAACTTAACTTATAAGAGTTTCTCGCCAATATCCTGAAATATGGGCGAAATTTTAGGATACCGAAGCTTACTATGGGAGCCCTGAAAAATATTATCATAATAAAGCTAATTCTCATACATGAATAGTTAAAACTATTCATATATGAGAATTGTTCTCTTTCTCTATAATTGAGCGAAATGTTAGTATGTTTAGTATTTTCTTGTGTTTATTTGTGGCTGACTGGGTTTCAGGCGTCTAAGGCACGTTTAATGCCCTTTTAGGCCTGCGAAACGTTGTCGAGTGGAAGGTTTAATATGTGTTCCAAAAGCTGATACTGATTCAAGACATTCGCATAATATTTTCTAGCCTACGTCTCCCAGACTTCTGGCCGTTTTTCCTCGCTCCTCGTCGTTTAGGACGTTTCGCCAGGATCAGAAACGAAACGTCCCAAGCTGCGAGGAGAGAGGAGAAACTAGCCTGCGTCGCGCGCAGACACTCTAAACCTTCTGTATAGACTATACACATTCTTTAGACGGTGAGTGGGCTGGCTGCAACGCAGGCTAGGCCGAAACGGCTGTTTTCGCAGGCTAAAGTTATCCATGATAAAATCGTTCATTTCTTCGAGCTTGATATGTCCCTAGCCTTATATTTTGCTCAAAAATTGCTCAGAAAGGCAAAACTTTCTCGAGGTTCCGCTAGAACCGCAAAAAGTTGCTCCAAACGCCAAAAGTTGCTCAACACCTTGCATTCTTGCCGCATTCTTGCACCCCCTCATCCTTCCCTCATCCTCTTCTTGCGAGTCTCCCCAGGCCCAAGGATCCCCTGTCACACTGAATCGAGGGCAACAACATGCAAATGGCGGGCGAAGGGTTGGCTAGGGTGAGGGTACATGTACTTGGCCTATTTATCGTGGTTTTTACTTGCTGGAAGTTCTCTCTATCCTACAAAGAGTGCAAGAAAATCGACGACTGTAGCTGTTTGACAGATGAGGGAGAAGTTAGCCTGAAAAAACTTGCAGAAACGGGAACACCAAGGTGAGACGTGAGACTATCAGCTGATAACGGTCGAAGATAACGTGTGACTGTTCATTGATAGGTAACTAAACCGAGAAGTCAGTTCCTCTTGGTCAAAAGCAACATTTCGTATAGGGATTAGGGTTAAGAGACACTTCTGGTCTTGTTCATTTATCTGTAGCACGGTGACCTATATTAAGACCTGTGAAATGTGACCTGTAATATTGTATGTTGCCCATTATCCTGACACTTCAGTTTAACATTGCAATAACTTTCCTTTGTTAGTCGCAAGAGCTCTGAAATTTGGCCCAGAGAAAATCTATTTAGTCATTAATATGACGAAAGACAGTTTAACTTTTTTGCCCGTACTACTAGGTTATATTTTTTAAATCGATTGCCAGACTACTTTGCAAGTGCAAGAGAAGCTTATAAGTCGCTTGCCTGTCGAATTTATTTACAATTACGTTGTTCTTGTTGTGGCCGGATATGGGGCCATCTGTCCGGGTACTGGGCAACATAGGAGCTCTGCAAAAATATTAATTTTGCTATGTATGGGAGAAGTCTCTCTAAACACGCTAACTGGCATAAAATATTTATCTACAGAATGTCAGAAAATTGAATGAGAAATATTTCATAATAGAATTACAATATTACAATATATATACTACTACTTGAGAAATTTCTGCAATTTGATTGGCTTAGAGCAGTGGTATTTGAGCTTAATTTAAAATACCTACATGTGAGAATAACAAACCTTTTGCAGGTAGTATTATAAACAAAATAATGATAGCATGATTTGTACGTGATATTTGGCATAAATACCACTCGTGATATTTCAAAATTGTCTCAAATTTCACTCGCCTACCAGCTCGTGAAATTACGTATAACAATTTTGAAATATCACTTGTGGTATTTATACCAAATATCACTACTAATCATGCCATTGCCTATACTAATTTACACCGGATATCTAACACACACACATTTTTATTTAGTTTAATTTTTGAGTTAATGTTTCCGTGATTTCCTTTTAAATCATAAAGTGAATTAAGGTATTTCTGAGTAAGTACCTCAAACCTCTGTTTCAAAGTGAGGAGGCTACATGTGAAGCCATTGATAAGGAAATTATTATTTATTCTCATGCAAATGAAACTCCTTATCACTTAGCCTTGCTTTCAAAGTAAGATTCAGGTGTAGAACTCTAAAATGACCTTTTAGCATGCAGTTTAGAAGTCCATTTAAAAACCTTGGCCACTCGAAAGGTGAATCATCCTTATCCTACGGATAGTCTGCATTTGATCATATTCAAGTCCTTAATGTAGTGTCTTGTAGTTTTGTGTTTCTTAAACCTTTGATAAAGGTTTTCTGGGGCATTGCTGAGACATTTGTTCTTTATTACACATTCATTAAACTTCAACTTTTGGGGAACTTCGAGCCAACCTATAAATTTGAGACCCTCAAAAAATGATAAAAATTAAATTTTTTTAAGCTAGCTCTAATTAAACATGAATAAGGGCTAGGAGACAAAGGAAATTTAGAATCAACCTAGGTTTAAAAAAATTTAACCTGAATATATAATTTTCACCTGTAAAAACTATCCTAGATGTAAAGTTTTTTACTAGTTTCAATTTCATTATGTTTTAATAATTTGAAGTATGCACCCATGGTCCATGCTGAGAAACAGTAAACCAGCTTAGTAGAAATTATACAAAAGAATTGATTATTATTTTTTTGCATCATTAGTTGAATGAAAAATCGTGCTGACAATCTCATGATGTCATTTTCCCACCAAAAAGCACTTGAGAAACAAAAATCATATCATTGTTAAGAATGTAAAGGTCTGCTATCCTGCAAACTTTGAGCTCATTTAGATAAAAATTACAAACACAACGTCTGCAGTACAGTAGAGTTCAGTCATTCTGCCAACACAACATGATTTTGAATCCCTTTTGTTGTTGTTGTTTCAGGTTTTTGGAAATTCCAGCTTTAAAAGCTCCATCTTATAAATTCAGCTGGAACCCATGTAACCCCTTTTCACTAGGCAAGAATGGAAGTAAATGCACTAAAGTAGCTGTAAGTATTTTTGAATAAGGTGTCTTGTTCTGGAAAATTTCGTGACATTGCACACATTTTAATTTATTCACTCCACTACTAGCCCTTAAAGAAAATCCCAGTTACCTTTAGTTTATGATTTCAAGTGTCATACAGTAGGGGAAATATGCATGTACTATGTAACCTGTCATAAGGTTTTTTGTTTAGAAGTTAATTAAATAATTTTATCTACTGACAGGCTTGCCTTCAAAATACAATACTCATAGACGATTACTTTGGTATTGCAACACAAGACACTGCTACTTGTTCTTTAGGAAACAATGGTGAATGTGTTTTGAAGTACACGGGAACAGGAGCAATAAGGTTTGTGCAGACACGTTTGTACTGTATTGATCCCTTTCCAGCTACTGAATGTCACATAAGGTTTATTGGTATGAAGAAAGGGGGGAGGGGGGTGGGGCAAAATAAGAGCACAGTCAGCCACATTTTTGTAAGTAAGATGCATGATGACTATTCCAGCTATTGAGTGACATATCTTACCTTTTATCCTAGTGCCAGTTTGAATCATGTTTTTGTAAAGACAACAAGAATATGATTGTGACCCTATTTGTAATGTAAATTATACAGCAGGAAATCACATGTTGCTGTCACTCTGAGGTGCGATAAATCACAAGAGGGCACCATCGAAGCACCAACCACTGATATTTCATCATGGACAGTTGTAAGTATCTATTATCTGCAAGGAATGCAGCCACCTCCCAAAGTCTTTTAAACAGCTCACTCCATTTTTGTAGTTCAGTTACCTTTATATAATAATATTATCTCACAACTTTATTTCCATTAATTTGCCCTTTTGAGACACTTAAGAATCATTTCACCAAAGTGGCCGTGTGGCTCTGCTCAGCTGGTTATTTCATAAGTGATAAAGACTATAATTATTCATTTCACTAACCAGATACAAATAAGCTCTTCATTATTTTTATAGTTCAGTAACCCTAAAATTGCCCATTAAGACACCATCAACTCTGACTGCTATCTTTTAAGTTAGCAAAGTACAATACCCAATAAAAGTTACCACAAGAACTCCTGTCATTTTTGTTGACCTTTAATCTTTATGCAAACTTCATTTTTACATAGATGATTAGGCTGGCTTGAGTGTAGCCAAGAGCTAATTGTGGCAAGCAAGACTTTACACAGATAATTTTATTATGAAAGATGACCAAACATATTTACAAATCATGTGCAGATCTGTTTTTCATCTGGTTCTCATCAGCAGGAAAACATCTTTGCAGATGATTAGGGCAGTAGCGTCCGCACAGACTGAAAACAGACTTTGCAGACGATAAAATAGTCTGCATGGAGTCTGTTTTTCGTAAAACAGATTTGTTGCAGGCTGATGGTTTTGTACGGGATGCTATCCAAATCATGGTATTGCTTGCTCCTAAAGTGAGCAGATTTAACTGTTTCTACTTCAGGTCGACAAATTCAGTGTCATCTTTGGGTGGTATGCCATTGTCAACTTGTCAAGTAGAATCAGAAACTTTCTCGGATAGTCTGGTTATGTCCCTTTTAGCTTTTTTTAACTGTTTTCTTAAGGCTTCATTTTCTTTCTTTAACTTCCCTGCCACTTATCCTTACCAGTCACGTTAAATATTGAACAAGAATTGAAACTTTCCAAGAGCCATGTTCAACCTGATTATTACACTCGGAGATCTGTGCATAGGATAACCTGGATTTGAGGAATAATTTGCAGGGGAATAATAATTTTTCATATTTTTTGTTAAGCAGTTACTACCTCCAGGTATTTCTGCCCACTGCTTCCAATTAGATTTTTGTGCTTATTTTCTCAGACAACGGTTTTGCATTCCAAATATGCCTGTCCAACTTCGTCATCATCTCATGGTAGTTCTGGACTGAGTTTAGGGAGTGTGCTAGTTATCAGGTATATAAAAATCTTTTGAATGCAGTGTTTTTCTTATCATGTGACCTGCTGTGGCTGGATTCTGAGTCTGTGGACAACATTCTATAGTGTTACCCTTTAAATTTTAATAACCACTTTGTCAGTAGGGTTGTAGCTAGGGAAGTGGCCCAGCTGGGGTAACCTTGAGTCCCCTGCCCCCCCCCCGCTTTGTAAGACAAAATTGAAAAATAAAAGTCCCCCTACCAGATACTTAAAAATTGATTGTCTATTAATGACAGTATTTCATCCATCTTATATCCAAAGCCAGCATAAGTTATGAAAGGTAACTTTGGAGGAAATTTGTTCATATGAAAATATTTTCATCGGCAGTTCTTTAACCTGTGTTGTAGATAGTCTAATTACTCCCCAGTATAGACAGACAGTCTGCACATGACTGCAACAGCTCCCAAAAACTTGTTCTGGTATCCTGCATGTTTGCAGGGAAATCTGTATCCATTTCTGATTGGCTTTATTTCTTATGTACTCTGTGATTGGACTTTTCCTTCCAGAGCAATCTATCAATACTCCACTATGCAAGAGTGCGAATCATGATATAAACAATACTATTTGTACTTTTGTATTTCACTGGGATTTTCCTTGAATCGTTGTGAATATCAAAACAGAATGAAGAAGAGTAGGAAAGATCATCTAGAGGTATTAAAGAGCTGTATGAGATAGATAATCTTCTGCCGGAAAAAGAAAATTCGCTGAAAGAATTCTGTTAAGCAGAAATCCCTCTGGCGAATGTTGGCTTATTATTGTACACTTCAGGTCAAAATATTTTTGTGAAGTTGGTGACTGACTATGGTACATCTTTATTTTCAATGTCTTCCACTATAGCAAGTTCTCTCTAGGTCTCGAGCGACAGGTCTGGCTGCAATACAGGCCACAGGTCTTTTATAGGCCAGAATGTTTGGTATCGACAAGTTTTTCAGCCCATCTTGCCACATGACTCATCCAAATTTTTGCAGCTTAACATAATAATAACAAAAGGTGGTAAAGGTGAAAGCTATTTTTATGAGAATAGTGTAGGCTGTCTACCCCCCACGCATGCTTCTCATCCAAAAAATGTCTCATTTAGTAAATCAGTTAATTAACAATAATTGTTATAAATATGCCTTTTTGTTGTAATGGTTAAAACTGGCGAAGGTCTTATTTACATTGTGTGCATGTGACAAACAGATCTGCACGGTGTCATTTGTTCTTTATTTTCAGTTTTTCATGTTTACTGATTGTGTACATCAGTGGTGGGATCTTGGTCAATGTCTATGTCAAGCATATTAAGGGCAAGGAGGCTTTTCCAAACTACACATTTTGGGTAGACCTACCTTTCTTAGTAAAGGTATGTAATCGTCAATTCTTGGTCATAGACAAATTACGCGATGTGTATTACTATTTACAGATATGAGTAAAACAATTTGTTGTTTCAACCTGAATACAATTAGGGAAGTGTTCAAAACTATTGAACATAACCAAACCCACCACCTCCCAGAAACATTGGTGGTAAGAACGATTAACGTACAACCAACACGAGGATTTCCTATTGATATTTCAATTATTCTGAAACCAACTTACAGAATAAGATAGGATCAGAGACGTTTCCATACAACATTCCAGTCATATTTCGGGCATGAATCAACTTCTACAGGATTAAAAAAACAAATTTACAACAACAAAGAAAATTACAATTCGAAAGATAGAGCAAAATACAAGACAAAACAAAATGTTATAGTACCCGAAGGTTAGATCCTCGTGCAGAAAGTTAAAAAGAAAAAGGCAATAAAAGAACTATGTAGATCCTTTACACTGTCCGTGTATGCTGACAGCGTGTCAAATTGTAACACAATTAGCAAAAGGCAAAGTGAAAAGAGTTCTAAACATGAGAATTAGCGTTCGATCAGAAATGTTCGTATTAATCTGTCAATCACAGTTTACCAAATCAACGTTCAAATCAAATAAACTAAATTCAGTTTAAGTCTAAAGTGAGTCACTCATAACAACTGGGGTGTCTCATTGACTTCCCTGCCACACACACATACACACACCCTTCCCCACCATAAAAAGATGATTTCTCATTTGCATAGCCCTCTTTCTAATACCAGCAGAAAATACATGTAAGTACAAGGCTGACAATGCCAGCTTTATACTGCACACAAAAGTAGGTCAGTTTTATCTCACCTTTTCAGGCCAAAAATTGATGTCTAGTAACTTTATTGATATGATGTTTCCACGAGAGTTGCTCGTCTATGCATACCTGATCAAGAAGTTGTTCATTTATTTTGATTGTGATGTTTTGATTCGTTTTCCTCCCTTTTGATTTAAAAATTATGTTGTTAACATTTAATGAAAGTTTGTGTGCTAAAGCCTTGAAGCCACTGTTCTGAGTCCCTGTTTGTAGTCTGTTGCAGTGTGTCTACGCTCTTATGACTAAAGAGTAAATTCGTATCATCAGCAAAGAGAATGTTAGATAATATATCAGAGCATATAGGAATATCATTCATGTAAATAAGAACGAGAAGGGGCCCTAACACAGATCCTTGCGGCACACCACATTTGATCGTTAACTTTTCGGATTTTATATTTTTGTATTTCACTATTTGTTTTCTATTTGTCAAGTAGTTTGTGAACCATTTTAAGACAATGCCTCTTATTCCATAGTACTCGCGTTTTTCTAGTAATATATCATAGTTATAACTGTATCAAATGCTTTTGCAAGGTCTGAGAATACGCCAACAGTATATTCACCATTTTCTGCTGCTTCTATAATCTTAGTTACCAGTTCTATAGTTGCTAAGTTTGTTGAATGTTTTTTTTTGGAAAAACTGTACTGACTTCTGTATAGTATATTGTGTTCATTAAAAAGATATTTAATTATCCTTTTATAACGAGACATGAATACAACACTTTTGTGCAACACTATTGTATGCCATCGTCCATTGGCTTATCCTTCGACGTATATGTCTAGCTATAAAAAAGTAATTTCAGCAAAAATCCTTCTTTCGCCTGGCTGCCTTGCTTACTGAAAAGTTTACTAATTTTTGTAATACCCCCTCCCCGCAAATGGAGCTGTATACTGACGCGTCGGGTACTGTTGGCTATGGTAGGTACTTTAATATGAAATGGCATCAGAGTCGATAGCTACCTCACATGCAACTCAGCAAAGTGACCGGCACAAGTATCGAATGGCAAGAGCTTTTTCCCATAGTTGTTGCCTGTGCCATACGGTAGCCCTATTTTTCCGGGAAACTTATTCAATTTTGGTGCGATGACGAGTCTGTGGTCACTATTATTAATTCAGGTCATTCAAAGGTCGTCTTCGTTTTCTTGTGCTTATACACAGGGAGCAGAGGAGTTCACTTTGAATTAGATAATAAAGAATCTCTTACCTCTTTGATTGCTGTAATTTGTTAATTCTCCGTGTGTTAGTTAGCCGTGTGTGATCATTCTGGGTCGTTTAACCGTTAAACAATTCCCTTCAATCTTCCCTTTCGCTCAACGTTTCTTTCCGACCACCATTATTTTGAAACATAACAACCGCTGAAATAAGCGCTCGTGGGCTCTCAGGATTCCTTAGCGTGGGTTAGAGTAACAGAATACGTAAAGCTTGTCTCTTTCTTTCTCTCGGCACTTCGTGCCTCGCTCGGAAAGCTTCGCTTTCCGAAGACTCTCCGCCGAAGGCCAACGAAAAAGCCCACGAGCGCTTCATTCAGCGGTTGTTATGTTTCAAAATAATGACGGTCGGAAAGAAACGTTGAGCGAAAGAGAAGATTGAAGGGAATTGTTTAACGGTTAAACGACCCAGAATGATCACACACGGCTAACTAACACACGAAGAATTAACAGATTGCAGCAATCAAAGAGGTAAGAGATTCCTTATTATCTAATTCAAACTGAACTCCCCTGCTCCCTGTGCTTATATCCATGAAGCACAATTTCTACCTTAGGGCTCGTCACGTTCCCGGGATTTATAGTGAGATTGCTTACGCTCTCTCTCGGTTTCAGGATACGCGCTTCCGGGCTGTCGCCCCCCAGGCGGAGAGCACCCCCTGTACCATCCTGCCTTCGCTAATGACCCTCTAAGGAAAGAGGTTCCCGCTATGCTAACGGGGGAATAGCATGGTCAACAAATCTCACCCAAAACTCCTGAGGAGAAGCACTTCCTTCAATTTTGCCTTATCAACAGACTTTTCTCTCCACTTAGGGACATTCTTCCCGCCTCGGATACAAGGACGATCAAACATAGCACCATTAAGCTATACTTGGCCGCCGTGCGCAACCTCCCAATTTTTTTGGCACGGCGACCCATTCCTAGGCAAATAATTTCTTTAAAAGGTTGGGGCATTTTCCGCCATCAGGGTCAGACCCGTATTCTTCAACAACCCGTTACTCCAAGGGTTTTGTTAGGCGTACGGCCTATTTTACGTCTGTGGCTGGGAGAAAGGTACTTAGCAATGAATTGGGCGGACTTCACTTCACCACTGATAGTAGAGCACACCCATCTCAATGTTGTATGCCTTGTGGAATTTTGGCAGTATTTATTTTTTCCAATTACTACAACTTTTAACAACCACGTTTTTTTCGCTTTATGAAATATATTATATCAGGGTCTTCACTTAACATCACATTTGATTCTTTTTCATTAGGATGGCTGCGTATTCACATTTCAATCCCTGGGAAAGTTATGTGGATTTGGCCCCAGCCGAACTGGATATGCGTCTATATAGGAATAGCAAAGAACCAGTGATGAGAGATACAAACACCTCACCTTATAAACCGTACACCTACAAATCTGACATTCAAAAAGAATGTGGTGCTTTCCTAAACAATCGGAATCAAGTTCAAGGGCAATTATTTGGGAGCCTAAGCAACGAAGTTTTTAGCGACGCACGTCAACGAGAAGTGGCCTTTTTGCATTCTTGGGGCGTGATTTTGACCAAATTTTCAGGCTAATCGTCTCTATGAAAGAAATGTCTCTTAAAAATACACATTTGGTAGCATCAAGGCATATTAAAGGGGAAAATGCTTCACTTCCGGTTGACGCGCGTCGCTCAAAAACGTTTTTGCTTAAGCTCCCTATTTTGTTCAAAGACGACAGTGAAAATTTCAAGAGAACACATTTTACAAGAAACAAATTGTGAAGAAAGCTATTATTAATATATGGTTCTAACTGGAGATCCCAGGCCTGGGAGAATCCTATGTTTAAATCCTTACAGTAGTTTGGTTCTAAAGAAGAATTAAATTATTGTAAACTATATTATGTATTCATATTTTTGTATATTTTATTAGCAATTTTTTTAAATAATAGTCTAGAACAACTCTTTTATTTACCATACAGGGGGTCTCCAAAGACCTAAGGACCGATTCAGAGGCCGAACCGAATACATTGAATTATTCATGAAAAGTTTGGCGTCTGAATCAATTAGGAACGCCTATTTCAATTGGCCATTTCCGAGTTCCGGCATCGGGCTCAGCCTTTGGCGCTCAGAAGCGGCCTATTTAGAACGGCTCAGCCTTTCTTCTCTCGCGAACCCGGCGGGGAATTTCAACTTTTGAGCGACTTGAATTCAGAGGCCGAACTTCGCATGTACCGAACCTAATACATAAATGATTATAACGTGTATTGCAAGCAGTTTGACCGATGTGAGCAATTTTCCCTTTTGAATTTAGTTCGGGCGGAATTAAGATCGGCGTCTGAATTAATTCTTACCAGCCGGTCTAAATGATTATTTGGGTCGGATATTAGAATTAATTTCGGCTCATGAAAAGTTTGGCGTCTGAACCGGTGTCACAGCGATATGGGCATCCCCATTCCCAAAACACTAGTGATATGAGCATCCCCTGTAACCCTATTAAACCCTAACCCAAATCGCCAAGGTAATACGAGAAGGGGATGCCCATATCACTAGGGTTTTGGGAATGGGGATGCCCATATCACTGTGACACCGGGCCTAAGTGATGTGAAGCACATGAACTGCGAGCCTGGTACACAAAATTAAAAAGTAGCAGGCTGTTAACTAGAGGCTGAAAAACATTTTACTGACCAACAGTAACGTCCACGGAGTATAGGCAAAGTTAGTTTGTACCATAAAGGTGTCTGTTTTTCTTTATCGAATAAAAATAAAGATACAACGAGGTTGATCGATGTGGAAATGCTTTAATGCTCTTGATACAAACTCATCACTGAAAACGTCTGAAAATGTCTAGCCCTGGTAGTCAGGAAATCGCGTTTTTATTTGTTTTGTGTAGGTCATTAATGGAACGTATCTTGTTTTCAGGCTTCTGTTATAGCTTGGCCAGTTCTACATAACCTGAAAGGAACTTCAATAGGTGTTTTATTTCTTCCTGTATTGACTACTTGCTATAGAGTACCGAAGTGTGACGTCATAAAAAATGAAATTTGTGAAATTATGGGATTTGTTAACCTATTCTGAAAGAACAACGTCCAAGACGCCTACTCGCCAAAAATTAGCAATTTGGGGCAAATTGTCTCTGAGATATTAGCCCAGATATGCTCCGATGACTCCATACAAATCCTTCTAAATCTTACCTGGTTCCTAATCTTATGAACCAAGCCAAATTTAGAAGGATTTGTATGGAATCGTCACAGCATAACTGGGCTAATATCTCAGAGACAATTTGGCCCGAATTGCTAATTTTTGGCGAGTAGGCGTCTTGGACGTTGTTCTTTCAGAATATCTTAACAAATCCCATAATTTCCCAAATTTCATTTTTATGACGTCATCACTTCGGTACTCTATTAGTGGTTGCCAAACGGAGTTTTAAGCTCAAGCCTCGTTTCCATGCTGTCATAGACACGTAACCAGATTGTTTGACAGATACGTTGTTAAGTCACATAGACTATTATGTGTTATATGAGTAATAATGATAACAATCTGTTGTCATTAAAGATGGTTTTCTAGCACTTTAAGGTGAAGCCTCGTTTCCATGCTATCGTGGTCACGTGACCAGCTTAATTGCTTAAACAGATACGTTTTTAGGTGAGATACACTATTGTGTGTTATAGGAGTAATTCTGATGGAAATCTATTGTCATTAAAGATGCTTTTCAAGTACTTTGAGGTCCAGCCTCGTTTCCATGCTAGAATTTTAAATCCACAATTGTGGGCATCAGTGCAAGTTACAAAATTGCCGACAACATTTTTTATGTTCCTTAGAGTCCCCTTAACACATCTAGATAGGTGGCTTGCTTTTTTCACAAAATTCCCTCGGGATTACAGATGCTCCTAGACTATTTAAAGGTAAAAAAAGGATTTATTTCATTTTAAACTTCCTCTAAAAGGCAACATATAAAGATCGGTAAAATCCTACGAATCATCGCTCATGTTCCTTTCAAACAAGTTTAGAAATCGACGCAAACATCTCCAGGCAAGAGCGAGAAGTATTGTCTTCTAGTAATTCTGTCGAAATAAGTGATTGCGAGCTTGACCTTGTTGTTGATCATTGCAGTGGTGGCAACTCCTCAGGGAGAATTGGGACGTATCGATTTCGTAGAAATTGAGACCGTTTTCTTTATTAGCTTTAAACTGCCAGTTATGAACTGTTAGCCTTTACGATGCTTGCAAACCATGTATCGTTAGTCTCAAGAGCACTGAAAGTATTTGATTGAAAATAAAACAAAAATAAAAATTCTGGTAGCCCCCCCTCTTTGTGTGCAGATTTATTGATGATCCCTCTCTGACTGTCCTGAATTTGACGTGGCTCACGCCTCATTCTTGCCAGCCCACCCCCTGGCATAAATAATGAATGGTCCCTAATGCCTGGATTTTTCGAAAACCTAATATCAAAATTGTAGGTTTGTTTTCAATCATCCATGTTACCATTGCAACTACCCGAATCTCACTTTTAACCTAATAAATGTAGTGTCTGTGCCAAATTTGAGATTGACACCTGCAATGAATTTTAAATATCACATCAATAAACAGTAATGAGGCAAAACCTATCACACTGTGTTCAGCCACCCAAGGCCAGGATACTGTGCACACAACTGTAAAATGGCCTGTTCAAGTTCACATTCACTTTACTGGGGAGTTCCCCAACGTTCTCTACTTGGCCTGACCCTCTACTTCCTCCATACAGTCAAACCTGTATTATTTTAGCGGTCACCCTTACGGAATGGCCAACTCTGAATACACTTTTGTTTTGTCCAATTAAAACGGTGATTTAGCCGGACCTGACTGAATGACCTTTCAGGAGAGAAAAATTATCTGCACTTCCTCAGAACGTAAAGATTTTCATTGGAAGTTTACGTGGCTTTTTGCAGTTTCCTCCAGTGTTTGTTGAATCGTGCTCATTCGGGTTTGGTTTGAAAGATCAGTCAGCGAAAAATTTCTCTGGACTAATGATACAAGTCCTTCCAGCAGAATTTTGCTCACCATTTACATAAGCACATAATGTTCTATAAATAGAAACAAAAACAATGGATCATTAAAAAGAAAGGAAACATTACATATTTGACAATTTTTTTAGGTACGCCAGTGCCACCAAACTGGAGTACAGGTAGCTACGCCAGTATTATCTTCCTCTTTTTTTCCAAGAATACAGGGGCACCCAACGACTGTTTTCTGTAAAATATCTTTTCGGAGAAGCAAATATTAGGACCATTTATACGAGGAAAAATAAGACGCGTCTTACATAAGACGCGTCTTAAATAAGACGCGAACTGTACCATTTATACGAGCATGTCTTATCTAATAAGACGCGTCTTAGCTAAGCCGCGTCTTATTTTAGACGAAATGTGCCGTTTATACGGAAAGTTCGCGTCTTATGTAAGACGCGTCTTATTTTTCCTCGTATAAATGGCCCTAGTGTCTAGAATTTTCTTTTGCTTGAGGACGGCTAAAAATTTCTAGATGAACGTACCATTCATGTTCAATTTTCGAAGCTTATCTAATAAATTTCCTACGATTTTCTGAAGTTTAATTTTTCATATTTTACTATCCAGATAACACTATTTTTCTTAGAAAAAGGAAACCTAAAATTCTCGGATTCTAAAATGTGATGGAGAGAGGAATCAAAATCACTTTCGTAAAACGTTAAATTGCACCTAAAATTTTCGGGAAAATAATACTGAAGCCCTTGTAATTTCGAAAAGACTTAAGTTCCCCTAGGATGACCGAACAGTTTAAAATTTTGTAGGGCCGCTTAGAATGCATTTCGAGAGATCTAGATGTACTCTGGGTAGCCTAACGTATTTTGGAGGAAACCGTCGTTGGGTGCCCCTGAGAATAAAGCCTACCAGTTGCACTTCTAATAATTATGACCAAAAGCACATGCGATGTTATAAATCAACCATCTTTAGACCGCCAGCTCAAATGGATAAGAAAGGTTTGTTTTAAAATCACAGTCATAAACATTAAAGAGAGAAAAGATATGCTGTTCTTTTAATTCATGGCGCATACATAACTCTTCGAAGTTAAGGACGTGGTTTACTCTAAAACTAAGCTACGTGGTTCATCGTGGTTTTAAATTCTCACATCCTGTCAATCTTAAGCATTATCACGTGACCTAAGTCAACAAGATTTTGCTCACGACAGCTCTCCTTTGTTATCAGTTACATTATAACTGACCCAGTCTCTTGCCACTGGTGCGCTCAACATCTCTTCCGTCAATCCAAAGGCATCACAGAGAGAAAGAGCCTGCGGTCCTATTTCACGACACAAGTCAGCGGCTACTCGCCCCACACTTGCCCCAGTCTCTACCGGCAGGAGCCGTGAGGTAGTGAAATATCCAAGATCTTTTTGTACTACAGTAATGAGGTACAAATGATACAGCTCGCTCAGGATTGGTTGCAAGGAAGCGTCTGCTTTGTTGATTGCATTGCTGAAGCACTCGCTGACCAGTCTCTCACCATACGCATGCGCACATGACTGGACAAGGTCTTGTTCGTGGTACATCCAAGCACTGAAGCGATCTTTAGCTCCAGCCTTCTTCATCTTCATACCTAACTCCATAAACTGCACCTGCTCTCGGGCCTCCAGTAGTCTATGCAGAGACTCGACGCTGTCCAAATCAACTGTCCCCACCTCTGCCTTTTCTTTAGATGGCTTGAACACCATCAGTCTCTCAGTTGTCACCTTCTGCATCAGCACAGCATTATCACCCTCAGCTGTCATAGCAGCATGGGCGTATCCTATTGCAGCACCGAATCTGTTACAGGAGAGGTATCCCTGGCCTCCACACCTCTCACGACACACAGAGGCAGCCTCGCCCACATGCCAGCCAGTCAATGCTTTGATCACACAACACATGGTAACCACATTAGCATGGTCTGACCCATCTTCTGGCTAGAAACAATGAACATGAAATGCATCTCTTCATATAAAGGTATTTAACCCCTCTTCAACTCCTTAACAAAGTTATGGTGAGATTATTAATTTTTCCCCTCTAATTATCATGGATACCCATGGATAAAGTCCTGTGGTGTTACCACGCATTCAAATGAAATCTCTTTGACATAAATTTCGCACTGTAATATTTAAGACTTAGGATTCTAGCACAAAAAGATGCTCAAAAACATTAACTTTAACTTTTCAGATCTTTAACTGCAAGTGGCAAAGGCAATTCAAGACAGGCTGTGTAAATATAATTAACTAAATTGAGGAAAACTAGAGAAAAGAAAATAACAGGCCTAAAGAGCACAAATGATTCCTTTAAATGCATCCTTTAATCACCATTCCAAGAGAACCTCTCAAGTTCCCAACTGTTTTATAGATAGACTGTAAGCAGTCTCTTTTGCTCAAAAATCTGCATGAACGCAATATGAGAGTACAAGCATCAAGTAAAGTAGACACCAGTACGAGCCAGTCTTTTCACTCATACTGGCAACCAAACAACTCGCTACTTGCGGCTTTGTTGTTCCTACACTCACATATTGCACTTGCTCACAGATTTCCAAGCACGAAAGACAGCTTGCAGTCTATTTTATGAAGAGAATTACCTGAAATGCCCAGCAGTCCTTGATATAGGAAAGAGCAAAGTCCAGTGCATAAGTCTTGGCCAGCAGAGGCATCAGTGCACGCTGCTGAAGTTGGTATTTCAGTATTGGCGTGTCAGACTTGCCTTCAGGCCCCACAGTTAAACGAGTCGCTGAGTAGCGGGTTGCAATGGTGATACAAGCTTTAGCAACACCTAGAGAAATCATACATCATAATTTTAAAAGTGTGTTTTACAAGATTAAACAGGAGGTTTAAGTCCACAAAACTGCCTGATAGTGCATTTCCAATGGATTTTCACAATACACTGTGATGTCAAATGTCTCTCCACTGGATAAATCACTTTTGCAATTTTTGGTTTCACTAATGTTTATCCCCTGGATAGTGATTTATCCCATAGATAATGCTATTCAGCATTTAAACGCCAGGGGTCAGGACATATTATGAATTCCTACATGATGTGAAGACCATCACCATCATGAAGCTTTTTTGATGAAATAGTTTTGTCAGTAATGGAATATGTGCAAAAATGCAATAGAATCTGTACCATGATCAAAACAGGTTTGAATGTTTAGTAAAATGGGCTAAATTCTACACTTCAGCACAGAAAAGCTAAGAGTTCAGTTTCATCCCGGAGATTTGGTGACATGTGGTAGACCAGGAGACTTGTGCTGTATTCGCAAGACTCAACCCCCAGCTGATAATCTGGGACAGTTGGCACATATGCTAAAGTGGTAACAACGAGATGGGAGCTTTCCTGTATTTGTCTTGTAATTCTAATCTAGGAGGGGATTTCAGACTGTAAATCCTCTATTAAGCCACCCCTCTCAAATAAAGTTGGTTAGAAAGTTAATACGCACCCCTTTTTTTTAAGCTCCCCGCCTCGTGTGAAACTTTGTGATGACTGACCCTGGATGGTTTATTCACCAATTGGAAGTTAGGATAATTTGTTTTTCATCCTCAGCTGCAAGACCTCCAACTTCTTGTACATGCGCTTTTCCACTAAATTGTAGTAAGTACTTTATATAGAACTGATAAATTGAAAAAATTGAATAAGCTCTCCCTCTCAACGAAAATCTCTGTCTCTATTAACCCCCACCCCCCCGCCAATGTGTTTGAAATAAATAAGCCCCCCAGGGGCTTAATAGAGGATTTATGGGAAGTGCATAACCTTGTGACATGCTTGAGATGCAGAGACGTCCAGACAGCAGCTGATCAGCGACAGTAAGAAACCTCTTGCGCACATTTCCCTCTACTTTGGTAGTGTAGTTACCATCCACATCCACATCAGAATACAGGTTTAACAGGTTTTCTCTTGGCACTCGTACATTCTCAAATATGAACTTGGCATTATCCACCCCATTCAGACCCATTTTGTGTCCCATGTCATGGATGTGGGATCCAGGAACTTCTTTGAGGTTTTTGTCACGTATAGGTACTAACACACCATGGATACCTGTTTAAAAACACGTACCACCACATGAAAGATTATTATGTTGCTATATAATTTGTTTATTTTTTTTTTTATTTTAATCATTCATCGCTTCATTGATAAATAGATAGATTAATTGATTTAAACAGGAACATCTAGTTTAGCATTAAGAGAGCTCATTTAAGCAGAGTCCCGTAAAAAATAAACTGATAACAGATAAAAGGCAGGGCTGTTGTTAAGTTTTGAAGCAACTGAAACAAATGACGATTCACCTGTAACAACTCACAAAATCTTTAAACTGTTACTTAAGCTTTCCACTTTGATCACCCATAACGTAGGGTGAGCTCAGCCGTAACAGATGTTAAGGTTTATGGCCCTTAATGACAGCTCCGAAACACAACAAAGCCACACAAAAGTAAAACTAATAAAGAAGACTGAGTACATTGTTGCATAAAATAGAATCAGAATCAAACTAAGAAATATGAAATATAAGACAATAGAGATTTACAACACTTCACATCTTTTCACTGTCCAGCCAGGCATGTAGTCAGCAGCACCCTACCTAGGGCCTTTCATAGGAAGGGCTTGAAAAAACCATGACAACTTAAACAGGTTAGCTCCTCCAGGAGGGGGGGAGGGGGGAGTGGTACTCAACAAGGTTTTGTATGAGTAAATCACAATACCAGAATATTTTCTTGACTGTACTTTTTCAAAGCAATGAAGTGCATCTATCAGCCTAATTTTGGGTCTTTTTACAGGACGAAATGACAGATTTCCATACCCTTTCAACACATGTACTTCAGCCAGTGAAATCCCTACCCTTTGATATACCTGTACCCTGAAAAAGGTACCACTTTTGGGCGGAGTCTCCTGTATAGGCCATTATAGGGAGTTATCCCACCCAACCCCTGGGAATAGCTTAAATGACAGCTGCATGAAGGTCAGGTATTGACTATTCACCTTCATTCTTTCCATTGATATATAGCTGGGCAAACACTATGATATGATGGGCATCACAGGCACCATTGGTTATCCAGTACTTCTGTGCCACAGTGCTAGGTGTGTTAACAATAAACTCATTTGTTTTGTCATCATAAGTTGCTGTTGTTTCCATCTGGACAGCATTGTTACCATATCCCAGCTCAGTCAGACCAAAACAGCCCACATCTTCCAAGGAATCAATTCCCTATTCATTGGTGACAAGAGAAGGTTTTAGGAAATTGTTGAGTTGATCTAAGTTAAATTGTCGGTACGATAGTGTCATCATGTGATCACTTGTTCAGTATTCAAATCATTAACAAATTAATTAACAGAAATCAATAGATCAAAAATGTGCAATACACACAATTGTTGATTTTCTTATGGAACCTAATGCATTTCTGATGTCTCTGTTAAACAAAGGCAAAATAAAATTCAAATTATTTAATACAATCATTCAAGTTTACTTCTCAATTTCCTGGGTTAGGGAACAAAGGAAATAGAAAATAAACTATGTCTTGATTAAACCATATGAATTTTATTTTGCAGGGCGTAGCCAGGATTTTTCCAGCGGTATATGCACAATTTGTCAAATCCCTTCCTTCCAGCAAGCAACATGGCCTTGAAACAGTAACAAAATCTTGATGGAATGGCAATTAACAAACAACACAATGATGGGTTAAAAACGGACAGGGACATGAAACAGCCATATTTGAAATTAATTCAGACTAGGGACATACAATTCATGGTTGCCACAGCCAGTGGTTTGTGAAATTCAATTTTATATTTCCCTGACCAACTGAATTAACAATTTCACAAATTAGTCCTGATAATGGACTCAACTCTTCCCTCACATGCAGCCATTCCCCACCCTTTTATTTCTGCTTTCAGCGAGTAACATGCAATGTACATGAATAGAATAGTTCATCAGTTAACAGAACGTGCAAAAGAAATTGATGTCCTTGAAAAAAGCCAACATCAGCTTGTTGTTCAATTTCATGCACAACCTTCTACCAATTCCAGACCATTCATATCCATAAATTTTCAAAAGAATTTTTAATGTTAGAAAACAGTGAAGTAGAGGGAAAGAAATAAATATGTACTCTTAAAATTTTACTTTTCCCTGACTTCTTTCAAAAATAATTTAAATTTTCTCTGACTTGAACTGAAATTCCCTGACATTTGCCTGACCTTGAAGAAATTTTTTTTCCCGGACCATTTCCTGACCTGTGGCAACCATGATACATACCCGCCTCCCTAAGACAGCCTCTTCATAGAGTGAACCTTTATTACATTATATTTACCTTAAGGAGTTTCTCATGATGCCGTTCAGTTCCAAGTTTAAGCACAGTGCCACCAAACAAGTTGAACTGGACAGTCATCTTTGTTGCCATGGAGCCATCAACTACAGCTGCAAGCTCATGAGCAGCAAATATCCACAGCGGATTGTGCCGGAAATCCAGTACTGAAATGAAACCCTGGTCACAAAGTTTCTTGAGTCTTTTGAGTGCTAATGCTCTCTCTTCATCCACAGAAATGTTATATTTGGGTTGCATCAGAGGGTCTTCTGACAAAATCTTTCGGAATTTCTCTCTTTTATCATGGTTGTCATGGTCTAAGAGTCTGGTCATGGCAGGAACATCAAATGACGAGGTACTCCATTCCTCTCTAAGTTTCTGTGGGTTGGATTTTTGAAGAGCAGCTAACGATCGAGAGAAGTAGCGTACAGTCCCTTGACAATAACCTTGGCTAAAATTCAAGGATGCTTGCGTAAAGAGACGGCCCACAGGCCTGATAGCTGAAAGCATGCCTGAAATAGTCAGAAAACGTCAGATCAACTTGTAATTTGTTTGTGAGCTGGAAAAAACTAGTACTGAACTTCTTTTAACAAATTCTCATTAAGGTAATCATCATTCTAACAATTAGTGATTAAAGACCGAATCAAAAGAAAATGAAATGTTCTTGCTTTCTGTAGGGTGCATTCCTCTGGAACGATCCAGATCAGAGAACCATATCCCTTGAATCATAGTACATCAAGGGAATCAATGATTATTGGCTGAGTGGATTCATTTGTCTCTTTTGAAGCAACAATAAATTGATAAGAGTGATCTCCGATAATTTACTGATCCTGATCAAGATTATACCAAAGGAACACACCACCAGAAACAATATAATAATGGCTTTGCTGTTCATGTCCCAGTAAAAACAGACTGCCATAGAATTGTAACTTGAAGCAGAAAAATAGAGTGGAAGCTATCGAAGTGGACACCCTTATGACTCGAAAAAGGCTGGAGCTGGCCGCTTAAGAAATTTAAAAACACAGAGTTTGTATAGGAGTTGAGAAAAATGTCATAAACGGGGTTTTGTAAAGGCGGCCATAAGTAGAGATATCCACTTATGAGAGGGTCCGTTAATAATGAGAGCTTCCAGTGTAAACCAACAATAATGCTCATTTGTACATATTGTTATTCATTTGACCTTCTGCTTTTGTTTGTGTCTCCTCTAATAATCTAGTTTTTACTTGATCATGAGCAATGGAATCATGAGAGAAATTATAGAAAACTGTGCTCTATACAAGCAGGGTTGTCACTAAGATTTCAAGTTGGCGGGTAAATACAACAAATATGTGGGGAAACAAACGGCTAGGGATTTATTTTGGTTCTATTTTTCTTCTATTTTCCAATAAAAGTAACCGAGGGCCACTCTCTTAGTAGCCGGGGAAAATCCCCGGCCCCTTCTTAATGACAACCCTGACAACTCAGTTGGTTTGATTTTCATGAACTCACTGGCTTGTCATTATATATTACAATGAACAAACTATAGTTAATTCTCGCTTTGAGAGCTGGAGCTTAAATATAAAACAATTTACCAGAATATAAAAATATTTTCGTCCATGATTTTAGTCTATAAGAGGACACTAGTTTAAGTGAAGTTGGCATCCTTAATAAAGATTATTATCATTCATTCATACAAAAATCGATCTGTATAAGAACTTTCCGTCGCTAGAAAAACAAACCGCCTCCAGCATGTTCAAGCGATTTCGTTACTTGTCACCCAGCCCTGTTCACGCCTACCACGTAAACAAAATATCACAAAGGGCCCTTACTCTCAGTGCAGCAAGATAAAACGTTTTAAGTCGTACAAAAAGAATCATTCCCCAAGTTTTCATATAAACTAAACTTGAAATTAATGCGCAAAACTAAACGAGGCAATCTAGTTTAGCGTCCGATAAAATGAGGGCGAGCTTATGATATGTGGGATTTTTAACCTAAGCTTCCGAGTTACAAAACAAAAGACAGGTCTATCTACATCAGCAAAGTATTCTAAGATTACGAAGCAAACGTTGAGACATAATGAAAGCTAACCGATCAATTCAGGATGTAGGCTACTTATGCACAAAATTAGGGGGAAATATTCGGCAAATGCATAACAGTTCCTTACTTTCAATCAGCTCAGGCTATCAACTGCAATGCTATCAGCTCGAGGATACGACGTTTTCAGACTTTGGACACGGTCAACGAAAAGCTTCATGGGAAACGTTTCTTATTGGGCAATTACAAAATACTAATTGGTTCAATGAATTTGCCATTCAGGCAGGTCAAATCCCATATGGTCTAGCGGTTAGGATTCCTGGTTTTCACCCAGGCGGCCCGGGTTCGACTCCCGGTATGGGAACGGCTGCTTCTCTTTTCAATTTCCTTTTTTTTACTAAAAAAAACCCTTGATCACACCCCTGTAAACATTGTTTATAAAAGCTAAATAAACGTTTGACCGCTTCCAAACTTTGCGCAGCGATTCCCATCACACAACAACATGCAACACGGTGTGCAAACGGACGCACCATGTACGTAACATGAAACAATATTTTGTAGAAAAATATACATGAAACGGCAACTGATCCTTACGACAAGGCGATGAAGAAGTAAACAAAATAATAAAACAAAAAATACATAGGAGTTTTGAATATATGAAAATCATATATGTGAACTGCGGAGTGAAGAATTAAATGAAGGCACAAGCCCATATGGGCTCCTGATGAAGGATGATCATCGCACTTTTCCAGTTGCGAAAAGAAAGCCTGAAAAAAATTCAGGCTTGTACGGGATTCGAACCCTTGACCTCTGCGATACCGGTGCAGCACTAGCCAACTGGGAGCAGGTCGTTGTGACTTATCCACTGATATGAAGTTCTATCTATTCATGATAAAAAAAGAACGTCGTTGTACTTCAAAAGCTCAATTTTCAGTTATAAATTTGCATCAAAGCACCGTACTGACAATTTACTTAGCCTGAGTATCAGGCCTTCCTAAGGGGATAGGGGATAGGGGATAGCTCTCTCCCTTGTTCGCTTCCATCTTTCCCCTTTTCCTCCAGAAACGCCTGATACTCAGGCTACAATTTACTGTGCTTTATACTCTTGTAAAAGCACAGGAAGCCCAGTTTCTTACGGCCTGTTGGTTTGTTGAATGTTTACAATTGGTCATGAAACTGGAGTGTCACGGCACCCGGAGGCACTATATGGTAGCGAACTTACAAAATAATTTTGAAGCAAAACATTTTAACCTAAAATCCCTTGTTGCAGATCTCTTTGTGTCCCTGGCTTGGTAACAATGTCTTAATAGTATTACACTCTCACAAAAACGTATTCAGGGCTCTCAACCCCCTACGTCTTTTTAAATACATGAGTTGAGAATTGATAGGGAAGGAATGATGAGGTTGTGATAGATGATGTCATAACGTTCGACAAATGACATCACCTGCGCAAAAAATACTCGTTGGCTCCGATCATGACACAAAACGCGCGAAAAAGATGTTGTTGGCATTCAGTAACATTTGACCTGACTGGTTTACTTCCCACCAATCACATTATTGCATATATCGCAATGGCATATCGGAGTTTTAGAGGAAACGTTTGATGTTAACAGTTAAATAGCTCAAACAACGCAAAATATTTGAAATTTTATTGTCGGAAATTCAAGCCTACAAGAAATGGCAAACTTCTGCGATTAGCCATGAGATCTGAAGACCAGGGCCGAGTTGTTCAATGCTGGGTTAAAATAACTCGGGGTTACTGCGAGATTTGAATTCAGATCAAGCTTTAAAAGCATTTCAGTTTTTATTCTTTTGGTCTGCAAGTTAAAAAATGGAAGGTCTAAAAGTAACAGAGAAAATTATCCCAGAAAATGCTTTTGAACAAAAGAAAAAGAAATCCGGGTTAAATTTAACCCCAGGTTAAGTGCTAATTGGCCTTCCAACAAGTGGGCCCTGGAGATGCGGCCCAAAATTTGGAGTCTCCAGGATATGGGGAAGACGCGAAAGTGTGGGGCGCGCGAAAATGGGGGCTTTCTCAATTCCGTGGGCCCGACTATCTCGGAGCCTGGAAGAGGCTACCCGGGGAGTTGACAGCCCTGCGTACTTAGCCGCTCTTATCGTATCGCTCTACAGTCCTCCACACTGAAGCCCAACCCTTTTTAAACTGACGCAAATAGAAATGTCAGCTGAACAATACAAAGAGAAAAATTGTAATAGAGAAAGCCAAGTGGATTCGTCTAATTTGTAAAAATGTGTATGAATAAGGTAAGAGATATTACTAAGCCCAAAAGGTAATTCCCATATGGTCCAGCGGTTAGGATTCCTGGTTTTCACCCAGGCGGCCCGGGTTCGACTCCCGGTATGGGAACGCCAAAATTACTATTTTTACTTTATTCATTCATAGGTCACGTACAGTCAAACCTCTTTAATACGGACACCAGAGGGAAAGAACCAGGAGCCCATCATTTGATAGGCTCCTGAAAGAACCAAATGTCCGCTTTACAGAGGTGTCCGTATTATAGAGGTAGGGAATGTATAATTTTTGGCATTTCTGGAACCAAACGAACCATCCGTCATAAAGAGGAGTCCGTATTATAGAGGTGTCCGTAAGGAGAGGTTAGACAGCTGATTTCTTGTTTTTAAAATTCTGTTGTAAAAATAATTAGCGTTTTGAAAATTCTCTTTAACAGCCTCCTCACTTAATCTGAAAATTTGTCTTAATGGCATTTTTGCCGGAAAATGCCGGTTACATTTCTGCCCCATAATATTGGTTTTATCATTATGGGGATGTCTACGAGGGCTCATTACCCCCGGAGCCGGAGTATTTCCGAGTATTGGGGTTACACCTGGGTGATTGACGTTTATTTCTTTCTTTTCTCGCTCGTCTCTCTTTCATTCATTTTCATCGAAATAAAGGGAGCGCGCGACCGTCGTCTCGAGGAGCGAGAACTAGCCCAAAGCCCCCACCTTCTAGCGACAATTTTTGTTTCGTATGGTAAAAAAATGACCACTTAACGTACAGTGATTTCATTTATAGAAAATATTAATACCGTAGTTAATACAATTCTTTGTCACGTCCAACCTTCCAATAAACGCCGCCCTCGAATAGGCGCCGCACTTGAGGTGTGAAAATTTACCAATACAAACGCCGCGGTGCTTATTCTAGTAAATACGGTACAGGAAAAAAGAGCGGAGTTTCCGGACTAGCCTTCGCAATGTACCTATGTGAGACCATAGTTAATTGAGTGGAATGGTTATGAAATCCGTCAGACTCCTTTGTTATATGTTTTTGTGGACCTGAAAGTGCACAACGTTCAAAAGAATTCCTATCATTTTGATTGTATTGACCAATAAAAACGTTGCATTAATTTATTCCGTAACAATTTGCCAACAGAAAACAAAGGATTGTGCACTTTCACGGTGCTTTGAACAAAAACTGCAGCACTGTTGTTTTTATCATTGATGTTTGCCGCTTTTCATAACCAGTCTCCTCTAATAACTATGGTGAGACCAAGAACTCGACTTAACTTTGTTGCAGAGGAAGGATCGTATATGAGGATCTGGTAAAGTGCTTGCAACGGTAAGGAAGGGCGGAAAACAGTGCTCATGTTTGGACCAATCCAATAAAAAATTCCAAGATTCGCCCCTGTCTGTAGGTACATGGAGATAGAGATAGCTGGTAGAGAATTAATTAATAACCGAGTCACCAATGACCTATTTTGACGCAAGTGTAGTCAAAGTTCAACAGAATTGTCAGTATCCGCCCTATTTAACCGTCCAAACTAATCTCTATACATTTCCTTTAAGAATTAGTTGAGAGAATTTGATAAAAGATCAAGGTATTTTCTCTTTGGTGATTATTTCATTAATTCTCACAACCTTTTCTCTTGTTAACTTTTGGGACTTGAAGGGTTAAGAAAGGAGGACGGATACAGGGAGACCGGAGGTGGTTGCTTCCTACTTTGGCCAAGTCTGAGTTGGCCTCCCACGCAGGCGTTTTTAGGGGAGCTCGTTTTCATCCCTCCCCACAAACATAGTTAATTGAGTGGAATGGTTATGAAACCCGTCAGACTCCTTTGTTATATGTTTTTGTGGACCTGAAAGTGCACAACGTTCAAAAGAATTCCTATCATTTTGATTGTATTGACCAATAAAAACGTTGCATTAATTTATTCCGTAACAATTTGCCAACAGAAAACAAAGGATTGTGCACTTTCACGGTGCTTTGAACATAAACTGCAGCACTGTTGTTTTTATCATTGATGTTTGCCGCTCTTCATAACCAGTCTCCTCTAATAACTATGCCACAAACGCCTGCTCAACCGAAAACAACATTCCTTTCTTATTGTTTTATTTGCATGGTAAGTGACCAATCAACAGTTGTGCAATAAAGTGTTGACAGGCTAAACACGACTAAAACGTGACCCTAGAGTTACCGTTTTCCTTCTTTTCTTTCCTTCGCTAAGGTTATGCGGTACATGGAGTACTCTAAAATTTAACTACTTCTTATTTTTGCCGCTCTGAATCTAACATTTATCAGAGGTCAGAAAGCTTTCCTAGTGTTTCATGCAGATCGAGTAATTATCATATTACCTTGCGGTCAAGGTCAACTTTCCAGAATTTGGAAAGTACAATGTGATCGGCTAAACATGGGAAAGGAATGTTGTCTTCGGTTGAGCAGGCATTTGTGGGGAGGGATGAAAACGAGCTCCCCTAAAAACGCTTGCGTGGGAGTGAGTTTGCTGCCTTTTTTAGGAGATGGTGCTTACTAGTATTTCAGGGGGGCGCTTATTCGAGGATCGAGGAGCACCGCGGTGACACCAAATAGCAATTTATTTCACGCAAGCTTTATTAAACAATAACTAAAATGTTAGCACGCAAGCAAGCATGTGTCATATACATTAGTTATCTCCACTAGAATACTGTACATAAGTCTATAAATAACCTAGTCTACGCATCTACCAATAACGAGGCAAACGATTAATAATAATAATAATAATAATAATAATAATAATAATAATGTACTGCTTGCACTTGCACCATAACTATATTATTCTCATAGCCGATTAAGGAGACACAAACCCTTCCACGTTATAACTTTTAACATGGACCAGTTCGCGAATATTTGGAAGAAACACCTTAAAATCAGTGAAGTTACCAAGTTTGGGAGTGATTTTGTTGATAACTACCAGAGATATACAGGTAGCAAAGTCGAGAAATTTTAAAGATGTTGTATGGTGGGGGGCAATTTTGTGTCCCCTCTCAACAAAATGCCTGTTAAATGCCTCGACTTTGCAAAGCTATAGTTTTACTCACTCTAGAAAAATAACTTTCAAACATGGCCAGTTAGCAGATTTTGTGGAGGGGCCTATCGAGTCTGTCGACAAAATCTGGTGACGCTGGCCTTCAAAATAAAACCTCTATACTGAGCAAGCCTTTCTTATGGTACGATTCCTAAAATATATGTATTTTTTTTAATAAAAAAACAATTTTTCTTTAATTGATTCTTGACACACTAAGTGTGAAACTTTGAGAATAATGACACTATTTTGCACCCTCATTCCCAGACCCTCCCTTCTTTTCATCCCCTAAAGCGCTTTAGGAACAGGAACCTGGGAACAAGTTTAAATGCTCCGAAACTATGGCTTGTTTAAACTGAGAGAAGCAGCTCCTGTAGAGTAGAACGACGCTAGGACCAAGGGCTTGGAAAATACCCACCTACCCCTCTCCTAAGCCGTTGTTTTGTCTTAAGTGAGAAGTAAGTGTTAATGTTAGCTTAGGGGAGGGGTGGGTGGGCAGTTTCCCAGAAACATAAAGTGTTCCGGACCAAGTACAATCTTTAGCACGTAAACTGAAGACAAACATTGTATGTCGCTGCGATGATCCACTTTTTAGGATCTTCCTACCATGGGGATCTTCCCCAATGCAAACAGCCCCTAAATCTGACACAAAAATGGCAGCATATTTGGAAAATGCAACTCCAAGAAAAAGGAAGAAATTATGGCGGCATAGTTTCAGCCTATCTTCTCCTTGTTAAGGAAGGTTTATATGGGCAGGATATTAAATTGAATTTAGTTACATCAATGCTTAAACGACTGAAAGCATATAAAATGACAAAGAGGCATTTGGAGGCTTGCCATGGAAAAACTACAAAGTGGTATTAAAAAATTGCCAAGAGGATCAGAATGATTCTGTAACCATACAAAATGTTTGAAAAGTTCAAACCAAATTATTCATTAGAGTGCAAATTGTGTGTTTACTCAGCTCCTCCCACTAAAATTAACACACACGTATTTATGGTTAATAGAGAAAGAAAAGATCCAGCCCAGAATTTAGAGAAAGGCAGGCTTTCTGATCTCATAGCTACCTCTATGATTTAACGTTAGGTTTAGGTATGGTGTAAGGTTTCACCACACGTTCATTTCGTGTGACAAAACCCTAAGAAAGTCTGCGTAGGAAAATATATTTTTTAATTAGTAACTTAACGATTAAACTATATAAAATAAATCACAGTTCCTTTACACTGCTGAGCTTCCATTATTTTGAAAGAGTGCAAAACGTTACCCAGTAAGTCATTGGTCTCAGTCAACCTTTGATCCAATCAAGAAATCTCAGCAGCTTTTGTACATGGTTCCCACAACTTTAGACAAACAAATTTCAAGGAATTTTAAAAGACTTTTCAAGGACAAATTACAGTTTTCAAGGACTACGATTTATTCAGTAAATCGGCATTCTTTGACCTCGTTTTGAACACCTTATTGGCTAAAACACGTCATGAAGTCATTTACGATTTTTACTTCTTCAGCCACGGTTGATCACATTATTTTATACTACTTTCCACAACAACGCTGCACCTGAGGTACAGAAACAGCATTTAAAATCAAGAAACAGAAGTAAGATATTGCTCATGCACAAAACATGTTTTCAGACAAGGTAACGAATTTCAAGGATTCTTCAAGACCTAATAAAGAAATCAAGTACTTTTCAAGGACCTTAACTGAAATCAAGGACTTTTCAAGACAACTACTAAAATTCAAGACATTTTCAAGAGATTGTACGAACCATGTTTGTAATGAGTTGTGACATCAGTCATTCTTGTGTGTTTCATTCCACTTTACAGTCATGAAATTTTCAACACAAAATCTAGCAGCTTAGAGTTTCAAACTAGGGTCTCCGCAGAGCTTCTTGGCAAGTCTCATGGTTGATATTTGATATCTGATATTTGATCATTCACCACCTCGGTCTAAGAAAAAAATGGAATACTTACCAGGAGACTTTGCTTTACTCTGCACATCTCACCATTCTTATACTATTATTTATTTCGTAATCTTAATTATTAGTGTAACTATTTTATTAGTTTGTGAGTTGAAGGGTGCCATCTACAATCCGCCGCTTTAAAACGTCATTTTCCCATTCCTCAACAGTTTCTTTGCCATTCTCAACAGTCCTATTAAATGAAATGAAATGAAATGAAAATCCTGCATGTAACACACAGAGTTTTTATACCTGGAACTCATGATCATCCTTCTACCAGTTCCAGGAGTATTCCTATTTCAATAGTTTCAAAAGTACAGTCTCAGGATATAGTCAAATCTGTATCAAGATGCAGTAACTTTCTGAGGTCTCAGAAATGTTTTTCTTTTACATGCTACCAGAGCATAAAACATAAGCCATCTCGATCATTTAGTATTGCCCAAATCTTTTTTCGCCATAAAAATATATTCTTTGATGAAAATGAATGTGATCCTGGCAACTAAATGAACAACTCAAGAGGGTTAAAAAAGAATGTAAAAAAGGTCAGGCCTTTTGTCTAAGACAGCTTGATACATGTGTACATGAAAGTAAATTTTGTAATGTCCATTGTTCCTTTGGCTTTGTTTTCAATAATATGAGATAATGGTTGTCTTTACACTAGGCTGCTAAGTAAGACTTAAGAGCCGCTAAGTTTTACTTAACCAAAAATGCATGTGTGGAAGGTTTAAGTAAAATCTCAAGTAACTTTGCTTTGCATCTCATTAAAGTCGGAAAGTTGAAACGATTCAAGAAAGTTTCAAGCGACTTGAAAACCATCCTTATGACCGACTTAGCTGACTTGCTGTTTTGCAGTTTCTTGAGCTTTGAGAAAGGCGAGACATGTCAATCAATCTTAATTTTTGTTACGTGGGAAATATTTCTTGGCTTATCTAGGCTCTACTGAAAAGACTACCAATGAGTTTGGAAAATAAAAAAAATTGAACCTTGGATGGATAACATTTAACCAGAACATTATAAACTGTCTGTTAGAGAGGTTAGATATAAAAAATGTAAGATCTTACTTTTTGGTTGTTATTTTCTTTCCATCTACAATTTTTGTTGACGTTGATGTTGATTTAAAATTCCCTAAGGAAGAAAAAAATGCAGATTATGAAAATATCATGCTATTGACCTGTACAAGGCTAACGACTCTTTAGTACAGCATAAGGAAATCTATAGCTTTACATCACCTCTATAATCACAGCCTTACTAATATTGGAATCAAGATTCTCACAATCAGCTTTGATTTGCAAACAAGAAAAATATTTTTAATGGGCATTCAAATGTTAAGAGGTTTCTCAGAAAAGGTCGCCATGATTCAGGAAAAGATATGACTGTAAAAATAATTACAGTCAACTCTCTCTAAGACGGACACCTTTGGGACCGGCACCAGCTGTCCATCTTAGAGAGGTGTCCATCTTATAGAGAGTCAAATAAAGGGAGTAAAGAAAGGCAAGGACCTACTCTAGGTGTCTGTTTTACAGAGGTGTCCGTCTTATAAAGGTGTCCGTTAAGAGAGAGTTGACTGTATTATTAAAAGAAAAATCCAGTGACTTACCTCCACGACTTCCACCACCACCACCACCATGACTGAAACTTTGGAATGATGTAAAGCTAACAGTGAGAAATTAAAAAAAGTGAATGTTACAAATCAAGAATGGCACGCATCAAGAATAAAATGTACATGTACTTAAGTATGGATCCAGAGTAACAGATAGGTAGCATTGATTGGAAGAAAAAAGTAAGAAAATTAATGAATAAAATAATGTACTCCAAAAGCTAGAGTGCTTAAAAATGCCAGACTTTGAGATAAAAGTTAAGATTTAAAACAATACAATGTTCGACTGAGGGAGCAAAATTAGACATTGTGTTTATCCTTTTCTGTCCAGAGTACTTTCTGCTGGTAAAGTTACAATGGTGTCAGAAGTCAGGGAAACATTTTCTGTACCTGTTTGAACCAAAGGGATCACTGCCAAAACCATTACCAAATCCAAAACTGGAAGAAAAGCTAAAACCAGGGAAACTTGCAAATGGGTCACTCGGTCTCATCCGGCCCTGGCTTCGGTTTCGGTTGCCTGGTTTTTCAAAAAAAGGTGTGAAACTGAATATCATATGTAAACAGTATCAAACATGCATCATATAAAAGACTGTTACATTTTATGCAGTTCCACAGTGTAAATGCAAACAAATACCACTGCATTTATTTCAAACATGGTCTGGTGGACATTTAAACCTCACTACAACTCATATTTCTTGCAGCTGACTGACTAAAAAGCACGGATTGTTATACAAACATCATTTTCTTTTTTTCTGCTCATGTGAAAAATTCAAGCTGCAGGCGTGATGGCCAATATTAGCTTTAGAGGTTTACTTTACCCCAGAAATATGATCTTGGCACATTTCTGCAGTTGTAAATAATATTTATAAAACAATCCTTTTTAACATCATCAAACACTTCAAAAGCTTCATTACTCTAACCAAGGAAAGCTAGACTTATTGACAACAATAACTCAACCTTACCAAAGAAACTGTCAAACATGGAATCATGCTGAAAAAATTCTCTGTTGAACAAAGGGTAAGGGTTGTTAATGGTTCACCATCAATGCAGAAAAATATACTATTTATACAGAAAAAATACAAATAAAGTGATATCAACTATCAACTGGTTAAGATAATCTTATGATATTTAAGACTTGTGCTTAAGTGTTCAATACATCTTTTTTACTGAATATATGTAAGCTAATTACAAGTATCATTTGTTTTTGTTTTTTACATTTGCCTACATACAGCTGTAGTACACTGTAAATACAGTGGACTCCCAAAAACTCAAACCTTCAAGGAAAGAAAGAAAACTGAGTAATCAGGTGTTTGGAGTAAAGGACTGAAAATTAGGAAAATATAGTTTTAACTATTCAGTGAACATTTTAATCACATGTACTAATCTCAAATGAAAACGGAACAAGTATGACTTGTAGATCAGATTTATTTTATGAATCTGAACCCAAAGTTACAAAACAAAGTCTTACATGTAAGTAGAGCATGTATTTTGCGGTTTTGAGAAGTAGTTTGTTAAAAGGCCCTGACTATGCTGATAAGCAGATCCATTCCCATTTACATTGTAGTATTTTGGAAAGCTGTTCCACGGTAGATGTGTAACGATCAACAACAGCTCCATAAAAAGCTATAATATGTCAGTCACATGTCAATGGCATAGCACAGTTTCTGTTTTCACGGCGTTTTGGTGTTGGCTTATGACAGCTCCATCCTCATATTCAAGAATATTATAGGGCCATTTGTGCGAGGAAAAACAACACCTGTCTTATATAAGACGCATCCTAAATAAGAGGCAAACTATCCTGTATAAATGGCACACTTCGTTTGAAATTTAGCTAAGACATGTCTTATCTAAGAACAGCCCATAACACCTATTCTTCGAAAAGACGCACCTTAGCTAAGTTGCGTGTTAATGTGCCATTTATTCGAGATAGTTTGCGTCTTATTAAGGACGTGTCTTATTTTTCCTTGTATAAATAGCCCTATTGTTGCCGGGCCAAATTCACCTTGAATGTCACTTTCATTCAATAGCTTAGTGTTAGTTGTGAGGAGTGTAAGTGTTTAGTCCTCAAGATATATTCGTTATGTAATTTAGTGCCAGGCATCATGCTCAACTGGGACTGGAAACCCTGTATGACGTAGTGCGACTTAACAGAAAACATGTGCTTGGTGCACGAGTGAAGAGAATTAAAAGTGATGTGAGAGAAACATTGTAAAACAGATCTAGTCTTCATGCTTAAATACACTTGAAGAAACTGAACCCAGGAGTTTGTTCAGTGTTACAAGAAGTTTGACAGCACACTTAGTAATGTTTTAGCAATTACAATTTTTTTCCAACCAGTCACACCCTTAAAAAATAGTTCAAGTTATCAAGGGGAAAAAAGTCACTTCAAGTTTGCAGATTCGAAAGTTTGAATTATCAAGGGTTTGAGTTACCAAGGGTAAAATTGAAATAAAAGTATGAGGAAAATCCATGGGACTCTGTTTTGGCTCAAGTACCACAAGACTCAATTTAGCAAAAGTTCGAGTTATGGGTGGGTTTAAGTTGGATCAGTTTGAAAGGCCCTGTGGTTTACGATGAACAATGTACAGTTTCACTCTTGCAGTCCTTCTACTGTTTGATAAACTTGTCTTAAAAGCCCAAATTTAGGACATAATCTCCTTAAGGATCTTCATTGGCATATTACTTAGGTCTTGTAAAGCATTAGCAACTTACCTAAATATTTCATCTGGGTCACGGAAATGAAAGTTAAATTCAGGAAAGCCACCAGCACTGGGACCGCCACCCCCAGCTAAAGGATACATAATTGACCATAATTATATTTTTAAAAGAATGACAAAAATTTTTTAGTGCATTGCACTACAAACTTAATCCCTGATGGTCATGCAGGACAGACCAGATTAGTATCCTTGATGAAGACTAGTTTTGACTAGTCAAAATATTGGACAAATTAACTACCAATCCCTAGCTGTCCAATCAGCCTTACCTTACTTTTTCATTCTATGTATATAATATTTTGCTTCAGAGGCATATACCCCCAAAAACTCATTAATAATTCACAAAGAAAAAACAAAAGAATTTGATGTTTAATCAGTGTCTTTATAACATAAAGACATGGCTAAACTTTATGACCAATGTTTTAGACCAATATAAACCCAAATCTAAATATTAGTGCAAGAATGAGTTGATCTATATGGCAGATTTTTTGAATCCAATCAAAAAACGAGCAGTCATCTATTATCAGATGTAACAACTCCTGGTTTCACCTCGAGTTTTTAACCCTGATAATACACTCCTGTTCATTTTTTTAAACAGTACTTACTATATTATTCTTACAGGTGGGAAAACTGCACCAAAGCAAAGCAAATAACTACAAGCTTGTAGCAAAAACAAGACAAAGTGTTCTCAAAATCACTTTTATCACGGCCAGATCACTTTCTATTAATCTTTCTTTGTCTTACCTCCTGTTAATCCTTCTTTCCCATATCTGTCATAGACATCTCGTTTCTGTTCTATGATAGAAGAAGTAAGTAGAGGTTTCAATAGCGTAGCGCACAAATGACGTATGAGTGACAATATTTTGTCTGAGTTTTGTCATTTTTCTCATTTTCATGACAAAAGTCAGACAAAAGTGATGAAGTCGCCGATGTTAATTTCTGTTTGTTTGTCTGAGTTTCGGGTCTATAAATCGTAACTGCGCGCAGCACTATTGCACTTCCTATTTTGTGTGGCAGTGTGCACAACAGAGCTAGTGTAACTCATTCTATGTCACATCCCATGGGGGGGAGGGGTAGTCAGTAAAAAATTTATAAAAGGTGCATTGTGCACTGGGTACAACACATTCAACCAAAATCTCTAGGAATTTGGTTGGCTCAATTACCAACCGTAGTGTGGGAAAATGAGCCCACATTTATCCCCTGATCTTCGGGGAAGATCAAAGAAGGAATTTTGTCCAAAACTAGTTTCCAGACAAGTTTTATTTTAGGAGGAAAATTTAATCAACTTGCCTGCTCTGTCACAAATTTGCAGCTTAATATTATCCAGGACTGAGAGGGTCAGCTCTTTAATCTACTATCCCAACTTACACAATTTGATTCAAGAATATTTTACAGTAAGAAAAGACTTGCAAAAAACTTAAGAATCTTTTGTTTTCAAGAGGACATTGAGACTATATAATCTTCTCTCAAGCACCCTGGTTTGGCGTGCAGTAAAAAAGGAATCCATTAAAAAGTGCTTACTGCAAACATGTCAGTTTGCAAATTTCGTTACTAAAAGAATATTATTTACTTTAACACAAAACAAAATGTTTATCCAACTTACTGTCTGACAATACATCATAAGCTTCTGATATCAATTTGAACTTTTCCTCGGCTTGCTCCTTATTATCTGGGTTTTTGTCAGGGTGCCATTTTAAAGCTAATTTTCTATATCTGTAAAACAACATCCAAGAAATATGCATTCAACACCTAAGTACTTGTACATTACACATGCACAGCAGAGTAAGCCTCAGTTAATAACTGAGGTCAGAACTGTTTCGGTATAACACAAATTCATGTGTGATATAATCACGACTAATGACATGACATAACAATCGTTGATCAGAAAGATCACTACTACTAGTTGCAAAACTTGAGAGACACCAACGGGTACGTGAATATTATTCTTATTTACGGTTTGTTTTAACCCTTTAAACCCTAGGATCAAAAGTTGAATTCTCATTTGTTGCCGTAATTCATTTCGTTGAATATTATTCTTATTTACGGTTTGTTTTAACATTTCTTGACTGATTGTAGTTCCTGTTGATATCTTTACGTAGATTTTGAATTTTATCTTCTGTATTTCAGTACATTTTGGATGAAATAAACCATGTGCAGTATTTGAAACCTTGGCGACTCACAGCTAGCAGTACAAGAACTGTGTTATTAGAGAGATTTAGAATTATGTTTATGGCAAACGGCAAATGGCAATTTGCATCACATGATCAAGTTTTACCTTAACTTACTGCCTTCTCTTCATCATATCTACACAAAAATCAATATTTCCACAACATTTTCATCAATAAGAATTATTTTGGTCTGTTTTTATCTGCTCAATCCCTATTTTGAAAGAATTTTCCGACTAAAATCTGACATTTGCCATTTGCTGTAAACCTGATTCTAAATCTCTCTATTACTTATACTTGTCAACTGTTTTAGACGACTAAAAAACATAGCAGCAGGATCAAGAGGTTGCTGTGTGAGATCAGTTTACGTCAAATATAAAACCCCTTCATCTTTGTCCATGGAAGTGAAGGATAATAAATTTAAAACATACAGTATATACAGGTAGTTACAAAAAAATTGTTGAAACACAACTCTCAACAACAAAAGGTACAAATACAAACATTTTGATTCTACTGTCCGACTTCTACTGAGTAAAAATATTGGAATTATAGCTACATGCATAGTGCTTACAACTAAACGACCATTATGTTTAGAAAAATGTATATTTCCATTTTAATTACATTTTTTTCGTTGCCATGGATCTAAAATGATCAAGTTCAGGAAACATTGAAATGCAAAAGCATTTGCACAAATTCACGCGCAACTTACATTGTTTTGCTTAAATCATTATTTTTATGAAGAATTGATTTCAAACAATTTTTTTCTTGTACATTGAAACTGCAATATACCAAGCCCTGCAAGTCAACTCTTTGGACAATATTCATTGATGTTAAATTAAAATGTATAAAACAACACCCTGATATAACATTCCACTGGAAAGATCTTTCCAGTCCATATGACAAGTCTTTGTTTTGTAATATTCATTTTCATTTTTAGGTTTGACTTGATTGGGCTATAATTCATTTCTAACTCGTGCGTTATGCATAGCATAAGAGACAAATAATATTATGGCACTGCAATAAGCGGATGTGTCATCCACGTGTAGACACTTTCATAATTAGTTCGCTCACATAAGAGCACCCAATATCAAAACCACAATAATTGTTCAACATCCCTAGCGAGCGTTGTTCCAGAGATTTTGATGTTATGATTTTGCAGCTTTCACAGGACAATAAGTTGTCTTCACGTGGACTTTGAATGTTTCAAATTAGCACTATGGCTAACTTGAAGCCTTTGTCTGGTCCAGGTGCTTAACATGATGAAAAGATGAGCAATTGCTCTTCAACTCTCCAAGCTCACAAGTAGTATATCAAGCAAGCCCCTGGGCCGAGTTGTTCAAAGCCGGGTTAAGATAACCCAGGGTTAGTGCGAGATTTGAATTCAGACTTGAAAGCTTAAGAAGAATTTCAGTTTTAATTTTTGTTGTCTACAAGTTGATGATTGAAAGCTCTAAATATAACAGAGAAAATTATCCGAGAAAATGCTTTTGAACACAAGAAAGAGAAACACGGGTTAAATTTAACCCCGGGTTAAGCACTAATCGGCCTTCCAACAACTGGGCCCAGTTGTTCAAAAGCTGGATAACCCTATCCATTGGATAACTCTCTATGCGCTCGATAACACAATCGGTTTCCCCTTATCCGCTGGATAGTGCTATCCAACATTTGAATAACTGGGGCCAGCTACAGCTGTAAATAACTTCAAGCTAACTGGAAAGTGACCTCAAAATGAGTACTCTCATGCTGATGTTTAAAGGGTTGATGAGAATGAGTTTTACTTGTTAAACTATAATGAGCAATACTGTTAAACGAGCACTTCTTGAAGGAAACAAGTATTGTAAACAAGTACGCCAAGCATTGGCTGCATAATCGATGAGTTCATGATGCGAAACCATAGAACATATGTGGTCAACCCGCAGGAAGTAAACACTGCATGCATGGAAGATGTACGAGCAGAAATAAAGTTAAGAAGCATAAGAATGTTCAAGAAGTAAGTCAAAGGTTACTTTGTAAATTTGGAGGCTCCTGCCATGACAGAGAACCATTGAGATATGTACTAGGAGAATAAAGCTTATTATCAAAACCTTCCAAAAAGAAAATGGAAAAGCATTGAGGTTTATAATATGCTCTGATTATGTACAGTACACCACATTTGTCTGGAATAAAAAACTTTCATCTATATTGTGGTAGAACCCAACCTGTAGGAAAAAATACTTCATGTTCATCTACTGTTGTGTGACTAGGTAAAAGTGACATTAATCTACTGCTGTGGTAGATGAGATACATGAAATAACAGATGTGATTCAGCATTTCCATAATAGCATTAAGTGTGGCTCTAAATATATTATGTACTTGCTGTGATCAGTTGTGGTATATGTATAGGTAATAGCATGATTTGTAGTGATATTTGGCATAAATACCACGAGTGATATTTCAAAATTGTTATACGGAATTTCACAAGACGTTAGGCGAGAGAAATTTGAGACAATTTTGAAATATCACTAGTGGTATTTATGCAAAATATCACATACAAATCATGCTATTATTTGTTTATACTACTACCCGTAAAAGGTTTGTAATTTTCACATGTAGGTATTTCACATTAAGCTGAAATACCACTGCTCTAAGCCCATCAAATTGCAGAAATTTCTCATGTAGTAGTATAACATCAATTACAAAATATGATGCTAGCAAAATACACTACATGCAAGTGCACAAAAAATCTACTTGATGTGTGCATAACTGGTAAAACTATTGATAATTGTAGACAATACAGAATGGGTTTGCTTAACATACAGTAAAATTTTGAAAATGAGCCCTGGGGCTTATATTTTCAAAAACCCTTTTTCAGGGACTTATTTTTGGAGGGGCTTATGTACGGAGGGAAATTTGCGTTTCAAAATCGATTGGGTTAGCTTATAGTTGGAAGGAAATTTACCGTTTTTGCTATGTCTTTCTTTGCATTTTAGGGCAATTTCCAAGTACAAGCCCCCGGGGGGACTTATATTCAGAAAGGCGATTTCACGGATGGTTTTTTGTGTTACAAGTTTGGGGGGCTTATATTTGGCTTATATTTTATTTTTTTGACTTTTTACGGTATACTTTGAAGAAATTTTTTTTTGGTGTTGCTATAGATGATTTATTACATCTTTAGCCCTTATAAAAAAGAATGCAATATGCTTTAAATTATTCTGGGACAAGATTTTTGTCCGCTTAAAATCAAAATTAGTCAATGTCCTGGTGGATTCCGTCTTAATATTTCAGGAAACTATACTAAATGACATACACAAATAAACAAACAGATCTGTCAAAAAGAGAAAAACACTGAGTCTGCATGTGTACACAAGATAACCTCAAAATTCTATTTCCAACAATCTCACTTTAGAAACTTTATAAATGTGGTTTCCCTTTTCCTTTCTGAATAAACAAAATAATGACGTTCGTACAGAACTTACACACTTCATTAGCCAAGTCATGTTCGAGTCGTCTCATTTTTACAAATGAAGAATAACAATATTATACCAACACACAGTGCCTTTAGTTTTATCTATATGGACAAAGGATAATGCATGGGATAAAACCTTATAAAAACGTCAAACAAACTTTGCATGTGATTCGAAGCATTAAGCTTAGTTTAAAGTATTAAAAGATAACTTAATTACAATAGAAGTATAAATCCTGAAATGTGCAACGTATACACCACACTTAAGTCTTATGTAAATTTTCAATACATGCTTAAAAGCTTACAGCAACCTTATGCAGAAAAGACGATGAACGTCTGTACATATGTTCTTTCTAGCTTACAAGTAAGATTTGTGGAAGCATCTCAAACTCTAAATATACCTGCATACTGTTACAAAGGGGGAACTATGGGTTTGCCTAGTCATGAAGTGAAGAATTAATAACAGCAAATGATTCAGAAGATATTCAAACTAGCAAAAAGACTTACGCTTTCTTGATGTCTTGATCGGTTGCACTTCTTGGAACCTCCAAAATGTCGTAGTAGTCTGACATTTTAACTGTTAAACACTTGCACACACGAAGAGAGAACACAGATTCGACACCTCACGAGAACGAAGATGATTTGCGATTCCGGGTAAGATCAATTCCGAGCCTCGCTTTGGTTCATGATATTATAGTGACGTAGATCATTACCAGTCTCCTCTCTCATTCCATTCCATTCCCATTCCACAGAGAAGGGGAGGGAAGATTCAAATTGTCTTTTTTTTTGCCTTGCGGCTTCGCGAGGATCTCTGTTCAAAAAACAACATTCCCGAATCCCGCATTGTCGACTCGCCAAATACCGTTCATAACGGTTTATTTCCACCAAATTATAAAAGGTTTGATTCATAATCATAAATTTTCAAAGAAGTCGAAGAAACGTCAAAGCATCATAGTGCATCGCGAAATTGAGTAGTTTTAATTTTCAGTGGACAAAAACCTTGAACCAGAAAAATTTAAACAATATCGAGTTCATTTTTACACTTTTCAAGGGCTATAGACTTAATTAGTTATCTGTAATGACACCAAAGACTAATTCTTATGGGCACCCGAGAAAATAAATGTCAAATTCCACAAAATGACATCTTAAACACATGAAACAGTTTCACTATTTAGTACCTGTGTTTTCACAATTCCTGTGAAATCAGACATCTATTTTCTCGAGCTCCCATGAGAAATAGTCTTTGGTGTTATTACAGATAAATTACATCTATAGCCCTTGAAAAATGTAAAAAAGAATGCGATATTGTTCAAATTATTCTAGTTGGCACATAAGAAGTAATTGTCCACTGATAATCAAAATTACTTATTATTCATTCAAAATATTTCCCCGATTCTGATTGGCTAAAGCACACGCAAAATTCACCATAACCAGCTACTGATGACCAAATGTGGAAGAATTTTGCGTTTAATGAACCGATGAGGTCAAAAGTGCAGCTTCCTTGCAGGTTAATGCACCGCTAACCGAGAAGACCAGGGGACGAGGTTGCTGGAGGTTGAGTTGTTTTGATTGTGAAAACAAAAATGGCGGACATTTCACTTGTTTCAAGAGCAAGGACTGAGCGAAATAATGGCCAAAATTTTTGCAAGGACAGCAAGAACACAACTCGAAGGGCGACATCTGCTATTTGGAGAATATTTGCGGAGCTGAACAACCCCAAACGTGCACTATAGAAGATGAACTTAACGTCGATGGATCGATGGAGGGAAGCATGTTTTAGCTATGTTTTTAAATTAGGAGTTATTTTGAATGAATAATAAAACAATTATTGAATTAAGCTTTCGTATCATATAAAGAATTATGGAGATCTCGGAGGGGGCTATCCGCCTCGGCCTACGGCCTCGACGGATAACACCCTCCTCGATCTCCATAATTCTTCATAAGATACTCCAACCTCGTCCCCAGGGCTTTTCCCTCAAAAAATGGGTTTTTTGAGGGAAACGCCCTGGGAACGAGGTTGAAGATACTCAGCCTCATTCATTAATTGTTAATTAATTTCCTAATGGATTCCGTCGTAATCTGTCGCGAGCGTAGTTAATTGTGACGTCACGAAACTGAGTAATTAATTGCTGCTTTTTGTCAGCTAATCGGTACAGCATCATATTGTTCGTTTCCAATGCGTGTTTTATTTGAGATATGTTGAGATGATTTCGAGGAAGTTAAGATTTTTGGTTATTTTGGTTATCCTGTCGTCTTTCGCACAGGCGAAAGATAAATGCCCTTTGCAATGTGATTGCAGCGAGGACTTGTCCGTGGTGAAATGTCGTGACATGGAGAAGTTTCCCGTGTTTAACTTTGCCGAAAAGGTTAAAACACTGTAAGTAAAACAGTTAAAAGTAATAACTGGGGCGCTATATATACTTTTTCAAGGTTTAATTTCGAAAGAAAAAAGTCTGTTTATGAATGGGTTTGCACCATGGTTTTTCGAAAGAAACCTTTTCCTGGCTTAGCAACCATGCGTGTATAGGAATATCCAGGAATTACACTTAAAAAGCAAAATTGTCAAAATAGAGTTAAACCAAAATTACTTCTCTTGAGCTCTTATAAATGATTAACTGGATAAACTGATTCAGTCCAATGACGGAAAGCGAACCACTCTGTGCACTGTAAACCCCATACAAACACACTGCAACCACATAACTGAAAGATAGTCCTGACACACTATCGATTTCTTGAATTGAGGGCTAGAAGTCCTTGGGTTAGGCTCATGTCACAAATCTTCCTTGTAAGTTTCATAGGCAGAAAAAGCGATAAAGCGAGCGACATGTATATTAAATAGGATGTCTATTTCACTGTATTTTCTGGTCAAAGGAGAAAGACAATAAAGCTAACAATAACTAACAGTCGATTATGCTAGAGTTTTAGCCTTTAAAATTCTGTTTTGCGAGCAGAACGCGAAATTGTTTCTGGAAGCTTAAAAGTGAGATTTCACTCAACTCAACTGAGCGTAGTTTTATTCGACCGATTACAGGGTAAACTATTTTTTTTTTGTTTTTGTTTTTTTTTCTTTTTATTACTTTATTTATTCTGTGTAATTTTTTTCTCTGTGTGTGTTTTACTTGCAATAAAAAATATATGCATTTCTTCGACCGATTACAGGGACTTGACTTATGGAAATATCAGGAGCATAAATGCAAAAGAAGTCAAGCCTTACACAAATCTGGAAAATCTGTAAGTATTGAGAGAACCTGCAGTTATATCAAAGTACCGGTAGGCAAAGAAGGCGGGGAGTAAAGCAGGAACATTGAGACATTCAAGGCTGAAGACTGAGCCTACTATCAAAGCCGAACGCGAAAGAAAGAAAGAAAAAGCTTAGGAGGGAGTGAGTCAGAATTAGTAGCATCCGTAGCCAGTTGAATCGTTATAGCGCGAGCAAAGTTTTGCTAGAAACTGCGAAGCTGTGTGTAGAATGTGGAGGAGGCATCTAGCAGCTAAAACTCTCACACGCGAAAAATTAATTCCGCAGCCATTGCAGGCTAGTGAATTAGTGAGTGAGTGATTTAGTATTTGTAACAGTATATCTTTATTGTATCTACTTTCTATCGAAAGAGAGGTTCTCATATTTTCGGCAAATCATCTCGTTAGCCGTAAAGACACATAACAAAACACATTTGGTTGCGTGACGGTACATTAAAGGGAAACGTTTTCACTTTCGCTTGTCTTACAGCCCTTAAAGACGCCTTTGCTTAAGTTCCCTATAGGTTCCCAGGAAGATTTTCGGGATTTCCCTTATTTGAAGTTCGGGTTTCGGGATTGTAAAGCAAAATCGGGACGAGATTCGGGATTGAAAGTATGCGAGGGATGTGGAATGCCAAAAATTACCATCTAGATTAATGGACTAAGCGAAATCTGGGGTCGGGATTAGGAGATTGAAGAACCCTATTGAGGATCCTCTATTAACTCCAACAATTTATCTTTCTTTGTGACAGGTTCATTAGTCACAATCCTCTGGACTGTGACCATGCAACTACCTACACCTTGAAATACGTTCTGAGAGAAACCATGAAACTAAAATCGTTCGATGGACATAAGATAAAATGTCCAAAACGAATGCCACTTATGGGCAAACCTCTTCATGGTTTGGCTGGTAAGTAGGCTTTCATAAACCTTACAAGTATGTATCTTGGAAAAATAGCCCATAGGTTTGAGCTTTCAATGTCAGTCTCCAAGTCAAGATAGATCAAGATACTCGCTAAGAAAAAGTTTCTGAAATATAGACCAAAAACTCATCAGATTTCGTTTCGAAGTAGGAGTTCATGCTTTTTTCTATTGAAGATCCTGTCCAAATACTGGTAACTGTCTTTGTAGGAGACTTTTTCTTTCTTCATCAAGTCTCGTCCCGTTCATTTCCCATTGCAGTCAGTACTCGGCCTTAAGTTGTAGAGGGGAGGTAGCCACGGAAGTGAAGAGCATAAATATCCAGTGAGCCTACAAAACCTAGTGAAACCAGCAAACCTCTCGTATAACATAAAAGCACCCTTCGAACATCCTTGGAACTTCAGTTTGCCGAGCCGGCCATTCCACTCGTACCGAACTGAAGCCGCCTCCGGGCAATTATATTATTGCCCCAGGGTTTTTATATTTCGATTATTTCAAAGGAAAATGCGACAAAGTGATCCTCATTTAACATCGGACATTCATAGCTCTCGCTTGTATACGCTTTAATTTTGGTGGTACTTTTTTCAGTAGTATTTGTACCATTGAAGCAAACACTATATAAACAATTTTGACCGGCCTATACTAGTTAACAGTATAGCTCTCTAGATTAGGAAATTCGAAGTAATCGTTAAAAAAAAGCCTCACGGAAAAAAAGATAATTAAATACTACAAAACAACAGACATTTCGCTACGCCACGACAGTACTGGCTTCTCCGCGGAGAAATAGTACAGTAGCGAAATGTCGGCGTTTTCTTATGCTAATACTAAAGCTACTTTTGCATTGTTTTTTCACAGAGAGCGGTAACATTCATTATGGAGGCGGCGGTCCAAATGTTCATATTCATGCTTTGACAGGCCATCATCCTTTACACTGCATGACACCTGGGATGGTCGCGACTGTGGTGTTTTGTACAATCGTGGGACTGATCGCAGTAGCGGGTATTTGCTGGTTGATAGTATTGCTCGTGTAAGTGAAGCAAATGGATATTCAACATTTGATGTTTTACAGTTGAATTAGCCCTACTCTACAGCTGACTCTATTAAAGTTGCATATCAAAAAGCACAGTCCCAAATGTTTATACGCCTAGAGGCGCCGAAAATGCACCATACTTTAAATCTGCAGGGACTGAAAAAGAGCCGTGGTTGATACAACGTCATCAACTCTGGTTTAATTTTCAGCTGGTTGACCTAGGAACAATTGGAGAAGATGTTTAAAATTCCCGGAGAGCATGTAAAAAAAAGCAAAAAGAAAAGGACAAGGCTCCGTCGCAGTTTTCCCGCGGTTTGCAGCCGGTACTCAAATGAGTTTGTAACTTCTGATAACTTCTGATTGGCTGATTACAGTGTGCTCTTTGTTTTGATTGGCCAATTAAAAATCAGTCTTTCCGCCTTTTCCCCGCGCCATTCTGACCTCTCCTCTCTTCAAAGCTAGATTTTTACCAGATAAGACAACAATTTTCACCATTTTCTTTTGTTCTTTACACTAATTTCAGCGCTGCTAAGAAGAAAGTTTCGAACGCGGATGATCCAGTGAGTCAAATGGAAGACGGAACCTCTACAGCAACTCAGTCAACAGACACAACTGCTGAAGCGCTGATAAAAGGCTTACAGAAACAGCGACGAAGCACTCAGGGATTCCCTGAAAATGCAATCGTAGACTCTGAGGAAGACGATGTCGTGGAAGAACACGAATATCTGATGGCAAAAATGAAGAAACAGAGACGTCATTCTCAAGGATACGCTGATGGAGCAGGATCCAGCGACGAGGAATCGGACATGGTCGAAATCAATTTGAACGACTGATGGTCGAACAGGGCGTTTGATGGAATCGATTCCAGCAAAACTTCATAACGTTGTTAACATTATCTTTAAAACATTATTCTTTGTATCGTTCTAATATCGGATCTTGAAAAAGCAGCCCGTTCAAGAAATGAGAACATCACGCAGCTGTTAATAAAACTTCTGAATATTTCTTCATTTTTAAGCTTCTACTGGGAAAGCTGAATATGGCTCACTGCATGCCAGTTCTATTTCACTCTCGTAACCTTGCATAAAAATTTTTTTTTAATACTTTTATACATGTGTACAAAAAAACAAATAAAGGAAAATTTATTTTTCAAGCAGGAAGTTTTTATTACTTTATATTTTTATTAAGACGTTTTATTTCTTTTTCAAATACGAAGATCTTTCGCTGTTGATAACTTTATTAACTTTTTATCCCCTTAAAAGATAATTAACTTATAAAAAAATAAAACCAACTAATACAAAGGTTTCGCCGGTAGATTTTCTCCTGATAGAAAACGTGTAGAAAACTAAAGGATGGGTTCGTGTCCAGTCTTGTAAATGCCAATCAAAAGTTCACCACTGGTTAATTTTTCACTGGAATACCATCAATTGTCATTAACTGCCTCTAATACATCTTTGTAAGCGGTTTTACGAGAGAGTTTTAAACGAATGGGCTCATATCCGAGTGAAGCGCTGTCTCCATTGTAGTTCTCAGTGTTTGCGGCGGACAAATGGAACGTCTGAAACTGGCAGGAACGGCATCAAAGAAAAGGTCGGCATATTTGCAGGAGGAGTTTGCCGCAAGTCCAGACGATACAAATGTCGCTCGCACGTCCATGCACTGCTGTTGCGAGCAAAACACGCTCGTCCTTAGTGCTCGTCTTGCGAGAAAAGTGAGACGAACCCACGAAAAAAACGGCGCTTGAACAGTTCCGCTTTGGTTTCTTCGGGGGGGCGACTCGTTTGTTCCTCCAGGATGATAACCAAATTTCTCGCAATTTGGAGGCTTCCTTCGATTAAAGTAAGAATGTCAGCACTGCGGACATTCACCAAAACCTCTTTTCGTGCTCTTGGATACAAGCATGTTGACACACGTGGCTTATACACAGAGAAGGATAGAATAGCAACGACAAACGAAACGAACTGGACAACGAGAAAATATAAAACAGAGACGAGGACTACCTTGGGCACGAGTGCAATGGAACAGACAACGAACAAAAAAACGTTACCAATACTTTTGCCGAACGAAATGAAACGAATAGAAACGCTAAATAACAGTCAAGAAAACAGCAGCGAAATGCGAAATGGATTGGATATTAAACGAGAACGAATACAAGAATAACAATAGAAAATACTAGTGAACCTCCTGGCACAAGAGACAATGAACAAATGCAGAGAGAATAACCCTGGGTAAGCAAAACGAGAAAGATGAAGAAAATCGAGCACGACGAACGAAATGAGCGGAATGAGCGGCTGGTTTACGTTACAACCTCGTGGCGAAATACTGAATGAGCCAATCGGATGGGATACAACCCACGCAACCCTATCAAACAAACCAGCCAATCACAGAGCAGGTTACTAAAGGTGCGTGTCAACCGGTGGAATTAACTGCATGACAATGAAAAGTGTGAGAGAGGTTTTATCGACTCGACGTCTGTGTTCTTTAAATAAATTTGTCATTGACGCGTCGCTTAGTTTCTCCTATATACTTGTAAATTGCAGAGGTTACGGGCAGATTTTGATCATTTTGCTTATTGACACATTCACCGATTCAGCAATTTCCACGTAAACCATAATGCATCTTGTTTACTCCCCCAAATTTTGCATAATCATTATCTTTGATTTCTCTTGGGATGACTGCAATACCCAGCAGAAATTGGAACAATGGTTATTCAAAATTTTGGGGGTAAACAAGGTGGATTATGGTCTATGTGAAAGTGATGTGTTCATGGGACAGTGACCTCCCGCGGGAGTGGCCTATAACCTTCCTATAGGACTCAACGCATGCGCATAACTGACTGGTTCGGTTATCCAAAATGGCGTCCGTGTGCTGTTTTTTTTGTTTGAATTTTATAGCTTTCATCGAATGAATTATGCACTCTTAAGGTTGACTCGATGTAAATAGGGTAATGTGTTTGCCATTTACTTGTTTGCTACCTAGTTATTGAGGTATTTTTACCAAACTTGAAATAAAAAGTAGAAGCATAATTTTTGCATATTTCGCTAAAATAAGCATAATTTACAAAAACTGGCATAATTAGGGAAAAATACGAGCACTGCTAGTTTCATATTATGCTACATTTTCGCGCACAATCTATCAAAGCAAAGGGTGAGCTTATAAGCGGCAGTTTACAGTATTTGAAAATCGCATCAGGTTCCCATTTTTTGTGGTGGGTTCGTTGCCTCGCTTTGACCACTTTGTCTTAAAGTGACGTTACACGAGACGATTCGCAACGACGATTTCAAGCCCAACAGAGCGTTGCAACGTTGTTGCGAATGGTTACAACATTGTCCCAACATTGCTGCGCTATGTTGCGCTAAAAATCGTCGTGGCGAATCGTCCCGTGTAACATCACCGTAATTCACGCTAGACTGCGACGAGTCTCTCTTTTCTTCAGATTTAGAGAGGGTAGTGCAAGCAAGCGCCAGCGTCGAGAGGCAAAGCCGCGAGACGCGAGAAACGAGGGCGGTAGCACGAGAAGAAAAAGAGAAAAAGAGATGCAGATGACAATCTATTAAATAAATATAACAACGGGATTGGAGATTTTCTTAACTTTATTTTGGCTGCACTTGAGTTAGAAAGAGATGAAGTGGCTTGCACTCATAATAACACTCTTCAGTGTGCCATGACTTGTAGCCTTGGCATGTACTGTATGTAATATATCAAACACGAGAGGGGATGTTTCATCCAATATACAAACACCGAGAAGTGGTTTGAAAAGAAAAGCAGCACAAGACTGTGAGCAGTCTCTTAAACATTTTTTTGAAGTTACTGTGGGGGCTATCGCGCGTGACACGCAACCAGTTACGAGAACAAGACCGCATTAAGAATGCCAGCCCCCTAGAAATATGAGATTGCTCACAGACTAAAGCTTAACATCGTGGAACCCTGATATCAAAACGCCCCAAGAGACTCGCGAAGTTAGGTTCACGAGAACAAGGGCACAAAGCCTGTCAGCGAACAAAACGAGCAACGAGGGAACGCGCGAGGGGCGGAGTCAAGGAGAGAGCCGTTCTTTCTTTCCCAGTCACTCGCTCTCCGTCTCCCTTCGCGTTCCGCTTGCGCGTGACGTTTCACGATATCCCCTTGGATACCAAAGTACTTACCATTCACATGGGAAACTGGAAATTAAGGTTGCAACATCGAATGGTTCGAGCCATTTCATTTGGGAAACTTGAAACAATATGAGCTCATTTTTCGGGGGGAAGCAAATTGTTAGACTCCTTACAGTCTACTCAGCTGATTCGGAAATGTTAAATGTTTATGCACAGAATTTTTAACCGAATAGTTTCGGTAAATGGCAAGCACCCTAGGGATTCACTTTCTTTAACCCCCGAGGTCCCAAGAATGACCAACACCAATTTTCTCTCGACGAAATCAATACACCATCAAGAGGAAATGTAATGAGAATTTATAGTGATCACCAATGAGAAAATGCTTTGATCCTCAAGGTAATGTATGGAGATCAGTCAGGAGAATTTGTATGTGGATACTGGGACTTAAAGGGTTAAAATATCAAGGTATGTACTAGATGCCGAGCCTGCGAACCGCAGACGTATTTCCGGTCGTCGCCTGGAGAGAAGCGAAGACCGAAAATACGTCTGCCGTTCGCAGTCTACTAGATTCCAGATCAAACAGTCTTTTGAGAGTTTGATACAGCTTCTCAAATGATCAATAATTCTTGAAGAGATTCTCTGCAAACGCTTGCAAAATTTACGTAAATTTGACTCACAGTGGTGATTTCTACATGAATTATCAAAGAGTTTGAGAATGGTGGTCTACAACCTAGGAGAATCAGAGCTCTCTTAGAACATTATATATCTATACATAGCATTTACACAATAAAGTAGCCTCCCTGTTTTAAATCTGCTATTACAAGGGAGCATTTTAAAAGCCATAATTTAAATGACAAACTTCTTTGAGCAGCGTAGGTTTTTTAAAACCCGGCTACTATAGGTATTTTAATTATATATGTACAAGTAATGATTGAGGTCAAAAGTGAGGAATATTTATTTTGAGAAGTACACACTAGAAACTACTTGCAACATTAATGTAGCCTACGAAGAAGCTCTTGGAGGAGTCACAAGAATTCACGCGAGAGCAGCGACGCATGCGCGAAAGAAATACTTTTTCTTCGCCACTAGCGGCTCGTTTCGCTGACCATAAATGGAGAGCTTGCTCATAGGCTAGATCAATGCTGTGGTAAGTCCATCTGAAAATTTTTACCTACGGCTGATCTGGTCGCTTGAGAATAGTGAAAAAGTTGTAGCTGTAGTTTGTTAATGACATTATTTTGTTCAAAACAAATCTAAAGCAGTCTCTTAGCTTAATGAGCAAAGGACGTTTCTGCTTTCAAATTTGTTATGTATAGCACACTGACTACGTTTGGGACCAATAAATTGCATGGAAATGCTTCTTTGGCTTATAAAATTTAGCCAACATTAACACAACACCTTTACAATGTTGTGTCGACCAAGGCTATGATAATTTAATGAAACCTACTTAAGAAGTCTCTAAATTTTATTTTGTAAGGTAAAACTTTAAATGTTTTATATATGTACTATTTTATGTCCACGCCTTTAAGGCTGCTCACGATTCTACTGGGTCTTCGTCCATGGCCATATCAGTAGTCCTGAAATATGAAAAACGAAAACTATCTTAAACAAACAACTTACCTCAATTTAGTATAGAAACTTCCAAAACTCGAGGCAAAATTTGAGACAAAAAACGTTATCATAACCTGCGTGGGAGGCGTTTGAAAGGGAGGGGAAAGGGAGTTTTAGGTGCGAGAGAAATGCGAGGGGCGCGCCCTCCCTCCCTCCCTCCCTCCTCGCACGCCCCTCGCGTTTCCCTCGCGCCCCCAACCCCCTTTCCATTCCCTTTCAAACGCCTGCCACGCAGGCTAACTTTATCAGGGTTGTGACGTGACAGGTTGTGTAACAGAAAAGTTGTTACATATCCTCAAGAGAGGATTGTAAATTCAACACGTAGGTCCAGTCCCTTGCCCTGTTCAGAGATGGTTTTCGTGGTTTAATAGCAATGGCCTCCTTGGCGCGACTAATATCTCACAGCCTACGATTTCTCGCTTTTGAAAACAGTTGTAATTATGACAATAAACCTAACAGGAAACAATCGATAAAACTTGATCCTGTTTAAAGTCAGAATTTTAGTTTAATTAATTTGCCACCGATTTTGATCTATAATCATCCATTTCATCGACTGGACATACCGGGCCATACAGGTGTTTTGGGGGAGAATAAACAAATTCTGATTATAAGTTCTTTAAATTTGCAGCTAGCCATTCACGTGGTACAAAACCACCATGCTGGAATGCAAAAGTCGCACAGGGACAAGACAAACAAAGGAAATTACCATATAAAATAATGTACGCCTTTTATTTGTCTTGTCCCAGTACGACTTTTGCTCTCCCGCATGGCAGTTTTGTACCACCTGAATGGCTAGCTGCAAAGGGCCTACTGGTCTTACTTGTTTGCCTCCTGTACCACCCCCATGGAAAGTGAGGCTAGCGCTGTGACGGTGTCTGCTTCCTCTTTTTCTCGCTGTTGTGCTTGTACTAATGATTGACAAATCTGTGTTGCTTCACGCTTTACACTGTTCCAGTACCTACCTATTAGTGAACAATTAAAATCAGAAACTCATATTCATTCATGTTACACGTACACAATAACGTGTTATTGACCAAAGATCAATATGGCTAAATATTGCCAACTTTTTGTTCAGCGTTTTTATGAAGCAACACGAAGTCAAAGTCCATAAACACTCCAATAGCCTGTTCCAAGCGTTCCCAAGAGAGAATGAGGTCAGAGAGCGAATCCCTATCCCATATGATAATTATTTGAAATCTATTTAAAGTTCGCGCGTGTGCTACGAATGTCATTTTTCTCTGCTGTTTCCGTGACCCGCAAAGTCTACTACCTCATTCTCTCTTGGCGTTCCCCATTCTCCCCCCGCTGTTTTTCCTCGTTTTCCTCATTTAACTCGCTTCCCAACATCTGAACCCCGCGCTCTACTATCTGAGCGTCTGGAACAGGCTAAAACTCCCACAAAAAAACGTTTTCTTACAGGAACGAACTGCACAAGAAAAAGTCAATAAAAAAATAGCAACGATTTTTTTTGCTTTTGTGGAGCCAGCCAATTAGTAAGTATACTGATTGTCCCAGTTGCTGAAGACAAAATTTAGCCAGTGTTAAACAAACATGCGTTAGAAGTAATTATCCATTTGCTCCACTCTAATATTTCAACTTTGCCGACTGTAAGCAATGTCAAGAAAGCTAACATTCCAGGCGAAAAATATACAATACATCTCCATAATATAAGTGGGAAGTGTTCTGCAAGTACCATGCGAATTACTTTCACACTTGGGCAAGAGGAAAATGTTGCAACCTCAATGACTTTTTACACATAGAATTACCTTGAATGGATATAGTTTTCTCAAGGATAGCCACTGCATTAGGGTTAGGGGCACGCTTGATGCTCTCTTTGGGTAGCTCTGGTATCTGCCAAAAACAAAGAATGTGTTGTGATGGAGAATTGGATGGAGGCTATGTTCCCACTATCCCGGATAGCTTTTGAGCCCGCACACATGCGGCTTCTGTTCACACAAAAGACGGTGATTTCAGCGCAATTTCTGTAAAGGAGCGAAGCTGTACCACGCCGATCTCGTTAAGTGAACAGTCACATATCGGATAGGTGTTCCCACTAAACCGGAGAGCTTTTTAGTGTGAGTATAGCCTAAGATTGTGTAACAACATTTTCTGGTCTGGGTATAGGTATGGGTGAAGTATCTGCATCTGTAGCCGTAGATACGGAGGACCAAAATAGCACTCAAGTAAGTTACTTGATTACATGGTATCCTAGTTTGCAGCCATAGCCACAAACAAATAAGACAGGAATATAATTACAGAGTATGCAGATTAAGATACCAAGACATGAGCCTCAGTTCAGATTAAAAACAGACACAATGATAAAGTAACTGCAAAACACAAGTTAATCATTCCTGGCAAATTGCTCCAGAAACATGGAGTAGTTCGTACTCGGTAAACAAAGTCTCATAACCACCCTAACGAAACCTGTTGGGCAGCAAATTGGTAGGGGTGTCTGGAGAAATGCCCTTTACTGACTTCTGAACAGTGTTCTAATACACTTCTAGATTCTCCTTACAAAATAATAATTAATTGCCTTGTATGTGCTAGTCCCTCGGGGGCCTTATTCCACACAACCTTTTTTCCCCCTTTATTGACTGTCCATATTTCATATTATGGAATATGGAATTGTGTTAGACAACTAATCATTTTATATGGGTCACTATTGACTGTTAGAGCATTTTTACCTTTTCTCCTAACAGTGCTTTGACACAGGCCTCTGCAGCATCGCACAGGGATGGCAAGCTATAGCCACCTTCTAGAGCCATGACTACATTTCCATCAGCCAAGTCCATCAGCTGCTTGGTCAGCTGTGCGTAACCTAAACACAAAACAAACAAGAACATAACCTGTGAACACTCCCGTCCTGTCGTCTGGGACAAGTAGATTTCTTGCTACACAAGTAACTTTGTAAGCTAACTTGCTAATGGGCACAGGTCTAAGCAAGACATAATTATTGTATTTAAATAATCGCCTACGACATGCCCTGGGCAAGCAAAATGTTAGAGCTGCTTGTCCAAATGATAAGCAGGAATTCAAGATTTTTTCGAGAAACATGTGAGATGCCAGCCCAGAAAAAAAGGGATTGAGAGACTACTTGTGATCTGCTGCAAAGTATTAACTTATCCCAGAGCAGAGAGCTGCACACTTTCATGTACAAAGAGTACACACTCACATGCTGCTGTTACTCTGTAGCCGCCCAGGGCAGGAGAGTGTCCAGCTGCGGCATCAAATCCTGCAGACACCAGCACAATGTCTGGTTGAAATTCTTTAGCTATTGGAATCACTATTGAACGGAAAGCTGCAAAGTACTCTGGGTCTCCATATACAGGATCTAAGAAGAGAAAAAAATGTCAAAGTCATTGCTAGAGCTGTTAATCCTTTCACTGCCAAATGTGGCCAAAGGCAAATTTCGACCAAATTTCCAAATTTCATTTTCTAAAATTTTGACAAACAAATAGAATCATGTGAAAGTACAGGAAGAGGGCTTGCATGTGAATGGTCACATCATAGGATTTCGTCCACAAACTCAAAAGTTAGAGTTACCTCACAAAACTCTATCAAACACTCTGGCAGTGAAAGGGTTAATGAGAAAACATCAAACCTAGCATCAATGAACATGAGCAACGTATGTGCTGTGGTTCAATGTAATCTTTAGTTCAAACTGTATTTACCTTTTTGGGGGAGGGTATGGAAATGTATGACAATGAGATCAAACAAAGGAAACTAAAACCTTGACCAAAGGTAAAACTGAACCACCACATTGTGCATATTGGAAGCATCTCAGTAGATAACAAACAAACTGTGATATTCTGTGTTAATGCTTTAACTTAGACAATACACAAGTGGTCAACTGAAGGATCATTCTAACTCAACGTTATTACTGTCTTAGTAAGAATGGAGTAACTTCGTCCCTTACTTTCCTCAGGGGTAGCAGTGTGAGCAAACTACATATCCACCCTCTCCTCCCCCCGTGGTATTTTACATGTGCCCTTGTATATTTTGCTCACGGCACAATGCCCTGAGGAAAAAGGTGATACCCATAGTCTGATTTGGAAACAGTGGTAACACATCTCACCTAATCCTCCCATAAATGCAATGTTAACATTGTAGCCCACACCAATTCCTGCACCACACTGAAAAAAAGACAAGAAAAATACTACTTAGGGTAAAATATGGCTAAATAAGAAAAATGACAATTTCCAGCTCAGAAGAGCAAGAGACAGGTCACCAGCAGGGAAGAAAGGAAAATTTCTGTGTCTAAGACACCCTATCCATTCAGCTAAGGAGAGAAGCAAGGCCATTGGCTAGGTGCATACGTAACACACAACTTCTATATACTAAAAGGGTTACACCATTGTTGGTCTGCTACACAGCCGTTTTTAGTGTCGTCACGCAACACTCTCCTCCCCGCTAACGTTGCGTGATGACACAAAACAGCTGTGTAGCAGACTACACCATTGTCAGAGGCTCACTGTATGGTAGTGATTTTACATCTTGCTCATAACAAAACTCAATCAAACAAAAAGGAAATAGAGAATTGCATTTACAATTTTTCCAAAAGCAAAAGCAATCTTTGAAATACCTCTTCTGACTTTCCTGTGCCAGGGAAAAATGTCCCATCATCATGACGGTGAATTGATATATACATTACATGAGGATCATCATAGAACATCTGTTGAGTGCCATTTCCATGGTGAATGTCCTAAAAAAAAGATCAATCTTCCTAATCACTTGTACAAGACAATTCTAAAAACAAAATTTGACCATAAAAGGTAGTTCAACTATTTAATATAAATTGGTCATGAAAAAGAAATTCAAATGCTGATGTTTCACAAACAATAAAAAAATGACCGTTGTAGGGATAGCACAAAAATATTGATGGTAAACCAGTAGCTTTCATTGTGGCCCACAAACAACAACAGAAACAAATATTTGAAAACAAATATAACAAGGTTAAGAATCCCAAACAGCTCAAGGCAAACCAGTTGGATATTTACAAGCAAGATTAAGGAGTTGAACAAATCGAGCTGGCGGTTAGGGTGGGGATTGAACTCAGGGCCGCAAGATTACAATAATTCCAGTACTCTTGCTGCTTCACCATACTGCTACGCTACCACCATTAGTTTACAAAAGATGGTGTCAGGCTACTGTAGGACATTCAAAGGGGACAGCCAGCAAATTGTTCTTGCTTGAAATATCTATATGTGTTAACTGTTCATCAGAAGGATGCCTAAAATGTGTGCAATTCCACAATTGGTTTCGTCTCCATTAAACCCTACGCCAATGGTAGAACATTTTTGGAGGTGCCACCGACAAAGTGAGCACAGTAATCGTTATTGACAAGGCTTATGAGTGAGAGAACAGTCTAAAGAAAATATAATGCATTAAATAATGAACTAAAAACACACATCAATTAAATACATTAAAATAAAATTTGTTACATGCGCACACACATGTAAGACTACTCACCCAGTCTACAATGAGGACTTTTTCAACTGATGATTTTAGCCTTAGCAGTCTTGCTGCAATTGCTATACTATTAAAGTAGCAAAAGCCCCTGAAACACAAGGAAATATTTCAGTCTCAGTAGATGGGAGTGGTTGAGGACCCACTGGTCTTAAAAACATTCATGGGCATGCTTTCAAAGAAAAAACAATTCCTGACAGGAAAAGGGATGTGAGTTGAGGGCATGATTGCAAGTTACAGCATTTTGGAGCTGAATCAAATCAAAAGTAAACAGAGTTCTTCTTACGCAAATATGCCAGTGGCCCTCCTACGTTTCTAGTGGGCCACAAAGATTTTTTATCATTGAACAATTTCTTACTGCATCCTTCTTTGGTACTTCTGCCATTAACTCATCATGGAAAAAAAACTTACATTGCCTGATGAGCTTCTGCATGATGACCTGGTGGTCTGACTAATGCTAAACCATTCTACAAAACAAAAAAAGAAACCTTTCAAAACAGTCCTGTCTTTAAAAAATTTAAAAGTTTGTTAGAGAAAGGTTCATCATGGCAGATGAATAAAGGATAAAGATAAGCAGTCCCAATTTTATGTTGGTAGTTTGTAATAGTCATCAGCTGACTAACAAACCTGACGCTGATGGTGCACTCATTTTACCCCATTATCTCTCTCTCCATCAGTGCTCCCTTTTAACATTATTTAAAGCAACATGGAAAGGAAAGAATTTGAAACAGGGATTTGTGGTCATGTCACCAGGGAAATGAACTCGGGACCTCTAGCACAGGAGGTTGCACACCAACCAACTGTGCCAATTACCTCTGACTCCAAGCCTCCTGCCAACTCTTGTCAAAACAAGAACCATTGGGGCTTGCACTAAGTAACAGTAGGAAGCTTTAGATTTGAGGACAAGGACAACTACAAGTACGAGATTTAACTCAAAGTTTTTTTGCATATTCATAGTTGTCAAAAAATATTCAACCAGGAAAACTTCGTTGTACTATTTTTCACCTGAAAAATTAGTGGGGTTATGTTTATTGGAGAAGGGTAATTAGCCCTTTCCCAGTTGCAAAATGATAAAAACTTCTAAAATTTGATAACTTCTTCCTACGACTACAGCATTCTAGCTAAAAATTGTGGTAGAATGACGACAGCTATCACGTTTTCCCAGCAAAGTGTTCTTGGTTCATGTGTGAGCACTACTTAGCACTGAGAAAATCTCCCACTCGTACTCATCCTTGTCTCAGAAACTAAAACTCTCTAATATTGAGAGAGTGTACACATGTACACCCTACAGGTAGTCAAAGACTGCAGGGACCAGCTCCATGGTTCCACTTTAACCCTTTAAGCCCCAATATCTACACAAACATTCTCCAGACTGATCTTCATACATTTCCTTAAAGAATTCCTTAAGAAAATTTCATAGAAGATCAATGCATTTCCCTTTTAGTGATCATTTTAATTCTTGAAACCTTTTCTCCTGATGTATTGATATTATTACAAGAAAATAACTGTTGGTCACTTTTGAGTCCTTTTAGTACATCCACTTTCATTTTAATCTGATTCTCTTGTGAAACCTTTTCTCCTGATGTTCCAAATTGTCATTCATAAAATTATTTCTGTTTTTAATTTTTGGCATCATTTTTTAATTTGTTTTAAAATGAGATGTAAAAGCCTTTTTTTCTCGGCTTTTTAACCCATCGATCAATAAAATCTAAATTCTGCGATTTCAAAATGGATGTGGCCATTAATGGGGAGGATTTTGAAAACTTTTAGTTCATTATTTCATTTTGTCTTTTATCATTATTTTGTCTCAAAATGTGGCCCTTACATGTAAATTGCAAATTTTATTTGCTTTATGAAAATTTAAAATGCATGAATTATAGAGAGAATGAAACTGCTTCTCTCTTTCAAACTCTCCACTATTTCTAGTCTAAGATTCTAAGGTGAACATCACAACAAAAATAACGTTTTTCTCACCTTAAGTTCTCCAGATGCAACCTTAAAGGCTAATTCCACTACACAACCAACAGCCTTTCAATGAACAAAAACAAGGAAAAAACATTTAACAAAAATTATATGAAGAATGATCCACGCAGTTGTGAACACAATTTATGCAATTGCGTAAGAAGCCTGAAAAAAAATTCAGGACTTCAATAGGATTTGAACCCTAAATTTTGTCCAAATAACTGAACCAGCAATCAATGCTGAATAACAATTCATAAACATGACAAATACAAATATATTTTTCAATTATTTCTCACCATTCTAGCGGCATTTGCACTATGCATTTCATTCCATATCGTGTCTCCATCCACCTAACAACAAATAAAAAGAATTAATAAGCAATACGGTTCATAGAAACCTGACTTACATTTAATCATAATGATTGGTCAAATGAACTGAAAGGTTTCCTGCATTCCGATTGGTTATTGGGTGTGGTCTGTGAGAGTATACAGCAATGAAATGATGAAATGTTGGAACAATATGTACGTCTCTGTCTCTCGCAAGCAAGAAATGGACATAATACAAACTGTTTTTGTAACAAAATAGAGACAACAATTATCCATAGTTTACACCATCATAAGTTGAGATTTGTAGCCCACAGAAATAACATTAAAATTTTCAAAACTTTGCAGTGAAACCACTCGCCAGTGCCTTGAGGTTCCAAATTGAGTTCAGAACTTTTTTTGCTTTCAAAAAGCACTGATGTGTAAGTGTAAGCCATTCACTCAGAAGTCAGCAACTTCTTTCCTTGAAGTAGTTTAAAAAAGGGCACTTTCAAACCATGTATGTACAGTCAGATACTCGCTTCTCAAACCTCATGTCTACTTCCAAAAAACGAAACACCAGCAACGTTGTTTGCTTAACACAGGTATTAATGAGGGATCGGCAAGGATGGTACAGTTTGGTGAGGGCAATCACCTACCACCAATGTAGCCAAGGTTCAAATCCCGGCATCAACACCACAATTATGTCGGTTGAGTTTGTTTTTTGGTTCTCTTCTTGCTCTGAGAGGTTTTTCTACAAGTACTCTGATTTTCACCTTTCCTCCTCCAACATTTCCAATTCCAGTTTGACCAGGCACCGGTTGTTCAAACATTGGATATAAGCACTATCCAGGATAAAAATCTAAAAAATCTATCCATTGGATAACGCAATTGGTTTCCCTAATACTTATCCACTGGATAATGATTTATTTGGTGGCTAGAGCTATCCAACGTTTGAACCAGGGCCAGGTAAGGAAGACAAAGAGCCACTAGCACTGGATGTGCTACCTACTATCATTTTATTTAGCTATTTCTTTTGTTTATTTAATGCAAGATAATTCTCCAGACTTACCCCTACTCCTCCACATGGAAGGTCATTAAAACATTTAAGCAGAGTGGTTGTACCTGTAAAGGTTAAAAAAGATAAATACAAGCTTATCCTCAATTTCCTGGAAAAGTAACATTTAAGGGCCTGTATCGCAAGAATTCTCTGAATTACGACCGTGCATTCCCAAGATGTACAAACTGACCTTCAAACAATGAGAGACACTCTCCAAGGAGCTTACAAACCACAAGATCATCCCAGTTATACAGATGCAACTTTTGCAGTTGCAAAAAACATCCTGAAAATATTCAGGCTAGTATCTGATTCAAACCAAAGACCTCTGTGATACCAACACCAGCTAAATGACCAGCTTCTAGTTGGCTGTTACCTCAATTGGTAGAGCACTCCACCTTTAACAGAAAAGGTAAAGGGTTTGAATCCCATACAAGCCTGAATTTTTTCAGGCTCTCTTTTTGCAACTGGAAAAGTTGTGTCTATAAATTCGCCCTTACATCTTTGTCCCATAGTTCTAATATGATTTTCACATGATCATTATTCCAATCCATTTTGCAGTTTTGTATTCTCATTTTTCCATTTTATTACTACAAGTCACAAAATATTCCACTCACCATCTTGATTCTTAGTTCTACATTGTGTGCTGCCGCCAAACAGCATTGTATGCTGTTCACTGCAAACAAAAACAGGATGTCAGATTGTGAATTTATCCTTGAATATGATCAACTTTTCATTCACTGTTGTAAAATTAAAGGAAAAGTCAAGAAAGCAAAAAAGCAGCTTCTTTAATTCTTACCTATGAACTGTAAGAATTTCAGCTAATGTTGCTTTTCGAGGTCGGACACGCTTTAAAATAGAACAAGCATTCATTGTAAGCTCTCTTAAACAAAAGCATTTAAAAGTGTTAGTACAAATGCAAAGGGTGAAAATTAAGTTGTCACTACGAGTTTCACACACTAAGCAATCATCAGACTGGATCAGATCGGGATTAAAAGTGTTTGTACTGTAGTTGGCTTAAATGAGCCCAGGTAAGACTCCTAAATTTTTTTCTGGTATCTTCCCCTAGAAAGTTGTCAACTGACAGCTAACACTCACAAGAATTTACTGATTGAAATCACCTACCTCACAGAGGTTGGCTACCCCTGTCTCTTGAAGCCGTGCCCAGATACTCTGTAATCTGCCAGGATGCTCAGGATGGGAGCTTGTGTTGCCGCATGAACACTGATGTTTTAACATAACTGTATCATATACAAGTCCTGTCCGGCTTGAACAGCCAGTCAACTGGCCACTGCCTACAACACCAAGAGCAGATCAATTACATGTAACAAATCTGTCAACTAAAACATGAACATGTACAGTAAGATACCAGCCAATGGCTATTTTGTCTGCTAGAAAGCTGCAGTTACACAGTACATTTTTAGAGGCAACCACTGTATCCAGAAAGTCAAGTGTAATTGAGTCATAAGTCAAATACTAAAAAAGAATACCTAAATCAAAACATAGTTAATTGAGTGGAATGGTTATGAAACCCGTCAGACTCCTTTGTTATATGTTTTTGTGGACCTGAAAGTGCACAACGTTCAAAAGAATTCCTATCATTTTGATTGTATTGACCAATAAAAACGTTGCATTAATTTATTCCGTAACAATTTGCCAACAGAAAACAAAGGATTGTGCACTTTCACGGTGCTTTGAACATAAACTGCAGCACTGTTGTTTTTATCATTGATGTTTGCCGCTTTTCATAACCAGTCTCCTCTAATAACTATGATCAAAATAAATGCTCATGATTTGAGTCACTGATTTACCCTAATCGCTATTTTCAGTGCTCAATAACTTGACTTATGACTTATTGATTCATTTGGCCCATAAAACAAGCTTTCTCTTGTATCCAAGCACATTGTAAGATAACCAAAATGTGCCACACAATACACTGTAATTGTATTTTAACAATGAGCCTGCATTAGCTAGGGATTGGTTTTCACTAATCTCATATCTATCGAGGGCAAATGGAACATTATTATAATATAACATTTCATATAATTATTTTATTTCATTATGAAACTTTATTGTATAATACTTTTACAAAACGCCCTCTGCAATAATATTGTGGAAAATTAGATGCACTATGCCCAATTCATATGTGAAGAAATGTGAACATCTGCTGATCGATATACGTTTCTGGGAAACTGCCTACCTACCCCTCCCCTGGGTCAATATTTGCCCTAGAGACAAGTGAAAAGTAAGTGTTAATGCTGGCTCATGGGAGGGAGGGGTAGGTGGGCAGCTTCCCGGAAACATACAATGATCCACTGCCCACCTGCCCCTCCCCTGGATCTACTTACCGACAACAGGGGAAGAGTGTGCTCTGGACAATGGTCTGTGACCAACAGATGCCCCTGGGGAGACAGATCCCGCAGAAGAGGCTGCTGCTAAATCAGCTTGACGAAGGTGCAAGGCATTTTGATTGCCTGGTTGTAGGGAACTACCATGTTGAGAATCATGCTGCTGTAATTGACGAATAAGTTGCAATTCTTGCATTTGTTGTTCTTGGGTAGACTGTGGCGAGGGAAGATCTTCGTGACTTTGTGTCTGTGAATGAAACACTTCTGGTAAATTTCAGCAAGGCTGCGCTCTAAGCAGAACTGTGGCAAGCCCTAAAATCCTAAACTTGTTGACCCTAGAAAGCCCATGTTTTCATTTTCTGCAAAAACTATGATTCCCTCAGCAAGAAAAGGTACTATCATGAGTCCCTCCAAGGGGTGGAAGCGACAGGTGACATGGCCCGAAAAACTGGTGACATTCTTCTCTAAAAGCATTGACAATGGACAGAAGAGGAGGAGAGAATTCTGACAGCAAAAATCTATTTTTTGAAGTAATGAAGGTGACATGAGATGCCTTTTACATTTTGGCTGTTTTTGCAGCAAAATAACAATCGCTTTTCCATTATTTTCTCTTTGAATCGTCTTCTAATGTTTGTATTGCTGAGAAACAATCCCTCCGGGGTGAAAGGTAAATAACAGTTAATCCTTTCCAAGCACACTATCTGGTGTAAATTCCAAAATGGAGTATCGCAAAAATTTATACTAAACAGACAGAGCCATTTTCTTCTTGGCTACAATGCAACAGCAACATTATTTTGGAAGGCGTTTATCATGCAGTATTGATCTTCTCATTTACTTACACGGATGAGTCGTTGCTGAGAAAGTTGAAGGTGCTGAAGCTGTTGCTGTTGTTGCTGTGCCTGCTGAAGTTTTTGCTGTTTTTGATGTTGCATTTGAAGAAGATGCTCTTTCCACGCAAGTTGCTCCTTCTGTTGCATTTGTTGCTCTAAGTGTTCCTTCAGTGCTGCTTGCGATTCCTTGTGCAACTGCTGCTGTTGCATTTCCTGCAGTTTTTGCAAGTTCACTTGCAGGTTTTTTGCTCCTATCTGCTGCATCAGAAGCTCCTGCTGGAGCTGCTGCATGAATCTCGCTGGGTTTTGCTGGTACTGACGTTGCTGTTTTAGAAACTGTAAATGTTGCTGCTGCAAAAGTTCTTGGGATTGAGGTGACTGATTTATGGCCACACCATTTGATAGAGTCAGTCCTGGTGCTGATAATGTCTGTCTAAGTTTTGGATGTACCTTGAGTTGCCCTCCTAGTTGTGATGACACCGAAGCTCCAGACATCTCTGCACTTCGGGGTGATAACAAATTGTTGGATCCTTCTGGAGGTAATGTCTCTGGTGGAGTCAGAGTTTGCCGTACTACAGAATTCATTTTTAGATGCTGTGCTGCATCGTAGTTCATAGCCATCATTTGTGCCTGAGCCTGGGCCAGAGCTAGCTGCTTCCACCGCGCTTGATGCAGTGCAGCCGCCGCAAGATCACTCTCTTCCTCTTCCTCAATTCCATCTGAAATAGTTTGACTAGAATACGGGCTTTGAATCTCCATGTGTGTCACATCCTTCCCTGATAAGCCACTGCTGTGGCTTAGAACACGTGGTTGACGTGCAAGCTGGCTGGACAGCCATCCACGGGGGTGATCCAGTCCTGAAGGGTAACGTGGAATTGCCTGAAGATTGGGAAGACTGTGGCCAAGCCCTGATCCTGGACCTGTGCTAAGAGGTGATGAACCCTGTGGAAACACAGTATTAAGTTCTAAGAATACATGCTTTTATAACAAACTGAACAAGATTTCATGGAAAAAATGGAAATTTTACATTTAACCTTCTATTCAATACAGTGGAGATCCCTAGAAACACGGATTTTTCCCAGCCTTTTATACAAGAAATGTACAGGACAAGAAAGGAGAACTTGTGTTTTAAAGCTAGGGTTAAGAGATTTATTCATCCCAGCCCTTGGAATTTTAGGATCCAGAAAATTCAGAAAGGGGTGGCCAGGACACTTGCCAGCGACTAGAAACTATTTATTTTTACTGAGAATTCTTTAAAAATGGTACAATATTTCACAAAAAATGGCAGACCGCTGTCCCCTCAACCAGCCCCTTAATTTGCATGTGGTGCCATGGCATGCACTATGGACTGACCTCTCTGTGTGGGGAGGCTGAAGTTGACTGGTTTGGAGAGCCGGGACTTGAACACTCCATTTCTCCTCCGGCATTTTCCACTGCAAGGTAAAAAAATTCCTACTGGTCAGTCTTGTTACAGTGGGAGTCTGCAACTATAACAAGTTACCACACTCCAGTTTCACCATTCCCCATTTCACCATTCCCCCGCACGCATTAAAAATGCAGGATGACAATATTATTAGGAAATTTTGACAATTTCACTGTCTTGGTTGAAACCAATTTAACCTGAAATCATTTTGAACAACAACGTGGACCATTATGTCTCCATAGTCCATGAACTTGATGGGAAGAATCTAAACCCATTGGAGATTGTCAAAAAACTTAAGTTTACTGTTTTGTTTGCTTTAAACATTACTTGTACACAAAAAAAGTCAGTACCAAATAAATCATCTTTTGATGAGTTTAAGGATAAGATCAGTTGAAGGGATCATTTCCAAAAACTCCACTCTTTTCTTGGAATTTTGCCAAAAAGCGTTTAGAACAGTCGATTTGTTTTCTGGTCACTGTTTATAAAACTAAAAAACAAACCGGTTTACAGGTGTAACCTTCTGATCCAGATGCAAAAAAACTTGGAAGTTCGCAACGCAGAAAGCAAAATTTGGGTTTAAAAGTGACACAGCAGTCTTGACTTTTACTTTTTTGCTTTCTCTCCTCCATTCTTTTTTTCGCTTTTCTTGCCTCATTTTTTTTCTCTTGCTGGGCATTTAGTAGGCTTCATTTTGGTGGGAAGAGTTTTTAGGAAAGCTTTTAGGATCTTAGGATTAGGTGAAATGAAAGGTAGGTGGGTAATGGAACAAGATTTTCATGGAGATTTTCAGGTCCTTGTCACGTGGTTTTTGCTTGTTTCTCAAGTGTCCTTGACTGAATTGTGCTCATTCTGGTATGGTTTGAAAGATCTGTTCACTCTTTAGCGAAGAAATTTGTTTGTTAAAACTGATGACGTCACAAAGAGTAGAAAGGACCTTAACTGACCGGTTCAGAATGGATTAATTAGTTAAAACAGAATTCTACTTGTCTTTATATACTGGAAAAGTTATTACGTGTAACAGTCTATATTCATGGGAATTACTAACACTTCTACATCACCTTTTTTTGCATTTTGGTCCAGTTGAGATATTTGTACTTTTCATTATTTTAGTGTAGCTTTTGTAACGTTAATAAAAATTGTTGTGTAAATAACAGCATACAGTGAAACCTCTATTAAACAGACACCTACGTTAACTGACTTCAGTATGTATTTCAAGGACGTAATCCAATACTACTATTGTCAAATCAGTCCGATGTCCAGTTAATAGAGGTTTTTAACAATAGAAATTAGCCAAATACAACTCATTTTAGTGTCCGCGTCCGCTTAATAGAGGTGTCCACTGAATAGGAGTTCATTATAAAGGGAAATATCAGACTTTCATTTCGGGACCCAGCTTAGTGTCCACTTAATAGAGGGTGTCCGCTTAATTGGGGGTCCGCTTAATAGGGGTTTCACTGTATTTAGACAAAATGTCTCCATACACTTACAAGTAAAGCTTCTTTGCATCCTGCTTCCATTATGGCGATCTCGCCTTCTGTATAGCAGAGGGCTTCCATAGTTTCTTATTTTAGCTTTTAACCTTGACTTCACCTTGAGATTAGGTTCAGAGGCTAGAAAGAGAATATTTAAGTGACAGTTGATTACCAGCGAGAAAGTACACTGATCATTTATCTTAATGTCATGAACAATAAACTTATGAATTGGGCAACGCTTAAGTGTTGGTAGCCAAAGGCAAACCTCTTTTTGAAAGGGGGACTTATTTGAGAGGGGGGGCTTATCAAACTTAGTGAAGATGGTGGTATCAGTTCTCCATAAAGAACTGGAATGCAAAGTGGAAAAGCTCAAGTACAAGAAGCGGTAGTTCATGCAGCCAAGGATCAAAAACAAATCTGAACTTCCAAACCTCTCTTTGAAAGGGGGGCTTATCAAACTTAGCGAAGATGGTGGTATCAGTTCTCCATAAAGCACTGGAATGCAAAGTGGAAAAGCTCAAGTACAAGAAGCTGGAGTTCATGCAGCCAAGGATCAAAAACAAATCTGAACTTCCAACACATGAATAAACCAACCCGGATCAGTTCAAATGATATTTTATAGTCGTGGCTTATTAATACAGTCTATTATTTATTATCCTGAATAACCTGCTTTCCAACAAACTTCAACGACCCCAAATAATACAGTGTTTGGTCTTGTAAATGAAAAATTACTTTCTCACCTGCTTTTCGAAGGGAAAAGTTATCAATTTCATTGTACCCCTCTCCAAGAGGAGCTATCCCATCTGAGTCACGTTCATACTGCTGACTCCTAAAAATGCAATAATTTCCTGTACTTACACAATCCCATGTGACAAAAGACAAAATGCATGACAGTGTAACGACAGACTACACTGACTATAGTTTCATTACATGCATTAACACATAATGTGTTGGCATGCATGTTTTTAAAATATCAATTTATTACTTCATCTTCCTCAAGGTCATCCTTGTCAATGATATACAGATCATCTCATTCCCCTTTAAGAAAGTGATGAGGAGGGGAGGGGGTGCTTGCTTGATATTATGCCCCAGAGGGTGGGTGCTTATTAGAGCGTGGGTGCTTATTTAAGGAAATATGGTTGTTGAACCTCTAAAAAGTCAAAGGAAACCTTGAAGCCAAAAGATCATCCACTTAGGAGAGGTGTCCATTTAAGGAAGGTATAAAATGCTGTATGTGTTACACAGTTTAATTTTGTACATAGCTGGGACCACAATTAAAATGTGGACATTTAAATAAGGTGTCTGCCTATAAGACACATCCATTTGTGGGGGTTCAGCTGCAGTCTTAAGGCTAAGATGGCTGCCTAGATGAGTGGCTACTGTGAGAACGTTAACAGAACAATCAAACGTGTCTATCTCTTCTTTGTGGAGGCAGAGTGGCCGAGCCATTACAACGCTAGACTTGTAATCCGGGGGTGCTGAGTTCAAGTCCCACCCTAACTTTTATCTGGATTTGTTCTGGGTAGTCCCAAGCTCGAATCCTCTGCCAAGCTTGGAAATAGCCAACTGGTTCAACTCCTACCAGTTGGGATTCTTAACCATATTATGTTCAATTTGAACTATTGGTTTGATCCCTGAAAAGCCCCATAAGGGGAGAAGATAATTAAGTATTTAGTTTTCTTTACTTTACTTTACTAAGTACCAGCTTCTATAAAAGTCATAAATAGACTATAAATTACTTGACTTACCAATGTTTGAATGCTTGTGAAGGCAGGGATGCTAATGCAAGGTCCCTTTGCTTTTTGCTAATCACAAAGTCATGAAGAAGCTTTTTCACCTCCTTTGATGATACTGAAAAACAGGCCAACAAAATAATATAAACTAAGGTTGCTTATTCAAGTTGTCGATGTTTAGTTTATGTCCTTTAGCCATTTTGATAGTAGAAGCTACTAGTTTTTGTGGGGCTGTGTGCGTGAACTCTGGAGTCTGTCCATACCACTGTTGACAAAATCAGGTCTTCAAATCACTTAACAGAGACAGCGTGCAAAGAAAGTATAGTGTCCAGTAGCCCAGGGCTAGAGGATTTAGCTATTGGGCTGATGAATTCTGTTCTTAACTTGCCTGATTTGGGGAATTCAATGAATCCTGCTTATCAAAAAACTTTTTTTCAAGCTAGTTGAAATGACTTTTGGGGTAGTACATACTAGCTACAGCCTTGCTCGAATGGCAAGCTATAAAACTGACTTTCTTTGCACCCTGTCCCAACAGGTTTTAACAGAAACTTACTTTCAGGTGGGGGTTGTTGAGATGCTTGGGATTGCTGGGGTGGTGGTGCTGAGTGCTGTTGTTGTTGTGAATGATGGCTGTCCTGTGATGAAGGTGCTGGATAATGTGTTTGATTGGAAGATGGATGAGATGGAGATTGTGCTACTTCTTGTTTTATGTTAGTTTGCTTTTCTGAAGGCCCATCGTCCTGTTCCATTGCTGAGCAGCCTTGTCCTCTCTCACTAGGTTCTTCTGGCTCCACCTAGTAGATACAATAACACAATGTTACAGCTGTCAGTTATGCAAGAGAAAAAGTAATCATACTGCCCAGTTTAAGCTCTACACTCCAAAGCCTTCCACCCTTTAAAATGTATTTCGATAGAACGGATCATTCTAAGTCTACAAGAAACAATGGTTTTTCAGCAAATTGCCTACAGTCCGCCTCCAATTTGGGAAAAAAGTTATACTATCAACGGGCCAAGCTTTTTAATGAACTCCCAATTGGACTTCAATCCTTAACTCCAAGAATTTTATTTAAGAAAGCACTTAACCCTTTAAGTTCCGAGAGTGACCAAAATCAATTTTCTCCTAACAATATCCATACACTGTCAAGAGATTAGGTTATGAGGAGTAATAAAATGATCACCAAAGAGAAAATGCCTTGGTCATTTCTCAAATTCTTGCAACACATTTTTTAAGGAAATGTATGGAGATCAGTTTGGGGTAAAGCACATTTTAGTTAATCTATGAAATGCTCATCATTTTAACTATAAAATAGTTATAGGCTTTTAGCATTTCATTTTATAGTCATAGTCTTTTAGCATTTTAGCCCATGGGCATAGCTTTCTATTTTTATCTTTTTTTATCTTTTAGTTGTTTATGTTATTTGTTTGTTTGTTTGTTTTTTTTAGAGGACCCCATTGACAACAGTGTTTTTATACACAGATTTTATCCTGTTAAAATATTCACTATTATGCCTCTATAATTAGGGAGCTCAAGCAACAACAGCAGCAATGGCAATGCAAATGGCAAAAGGCAATAGGTTTAGATGAGCAAAACAACTCTGCACATGATCATGCTTTTTTGTATATTTCTTTACCATCATTAAATGACTACAATTGCGAAACTTCCTAATTTAATGTCTTTTTGGTGGACGTGAACCTAGATTTCAACTCCAAAAAAATTTGCCAACATTTGACGATCACTAAACAGCTACCACCTTTTTTGCGCTCATGATGAACGAGATGGAATTAGCACAAAGAAGTTAGAAACAGGGCTGTCAATAAGTGCCGGTAGCCGGCCAAAACCACCGGCTAGTTGGCCATCCTTAGCCAGCTACGCACTTTCATCTCCTTCTACCATAACTGCTAACAAAAAATAAGTGCCATCGAATAAAATTGTAAAGCATCCGTTTCCCAGTTTTGAATGACAGGTTTAGATCCGTGAATCGAACTGTGCGACGTCATGGAACACCTGGGACATTTCGACAGCATTGTTCTCAGTCTTGCGTGTATTCTGATGAAACAACATGGTGTCCGCAATGGAAAATACCTCTTGGAAATCCCTGGAAACACCATTTCCAAGACTCTAATTTTCAAAATGTCCCTAGATGCCTCAGCCCTCAAAAAGCTTGTGCCTTTGGTGTGAGTTCCAAAGCCGAATACTATTCATTATCAGCCAGCTAAGTAAAAACGTTTTAACAGCCCTGGTTAGAAACAGCACAAAATCAATTCTTAGGTGACGTTTTCGCAACTATCACCATAGTCGTTTCTTCGCTTGCAGAACCAGACATATGCAAAACCTATGCTCATGCTATTGACTTACTATGTTGGACTATGTTTCGGCTATGTTATGTTCACTACTGCCTATGTATTAACTATGCAACATACCATGGGATATTATCAGTAAGAGATCAGAATTCCTAATGAAACTATGTTTAGGCTATTTGAAAAGTACATACCTTTTTAATACCTATGCAAATACTATTCAAAATCTTTTCATAGTCTTGACATAGCTATGTATTTACTATGCAAAAGAAAGTTCTGCTTTTCCTTCCAATTCAATTCTTAGGTAATGTTTTCGCAACTATCACCATAATCATTTACTCCCTTGCAGAACCAGACATATGCAAAGCCTATGCTCATGCTATTGACTTACTATGTTAGACTATGTTTCGGCTATGTTATGTTCACTACTACCTATGTATTAACTATGCAACATACCACATAACATAGTCCAAAGTATGAAAAATCTATAATGAAACTATGCTTAGGCTATTTGAAAAGTACACACCTTTTTAATACCTATGCAAATACTATTCAAAATCTTTTCATAGTCTTGACATAGCTATGTACAGTATTTACTATGCAATAGAAAGTTCTGCTTTTCCTTCCAATTTGCATCCTATGTATTCACTAAGCAACAAAGCAAAATAGCTTTTACATAGCATCTCGATGCTCCCTTTTATTTCCAACATTATATCCTTAGCTTTTACATAGTGCTATGTATATTCTATGCTCTGTGAATGAAATATATTTGCAGCCTATGTTTTTACTGTGTGATATTTTAATTCAGTTTTATCATGACATAAAGGCTATATAGCTTTTACATAAACATATTTTTTCCTATGTCACTCATATGAAAAATAATGTAGTCTATGTGTTTCCTATGTGATATTCCAACATAGCATTTAAAATACTAGGCATGTTGATGGTACAGGTTAAATAGCACTTACAAAAAGCATACATCGAATGTAAAAAGCAGCATTTTAAACTAGACAGCTTAAAAATGATATACTATAATTTTTTTGCACTTGCAGATAGTTTCTTAGTGAGAGGATTATAAATTTTTTGTTAAGCATTCTCTGCATCCATCATTCCTGCCTTAACTTTCCTTTCTAGCTTTTCCCTAATGTTTCTTCACTTGAAATGATACTTCCATGCATCCTTTTCTCCTTTTACATTAAAGCTTCTCTCCTTCGTCTTGATTTTGGACGACTCACAGCACTAGCTGCAGTCATCGGTGTTTGTCCGCCATTTTGTTTCCACTAGTTCCCAGGGAAGCCTGTGAGTTCAACACATGCGTATTTTGCGTTTTATCGTCACATGGGCCTTTGCAACCAATGAAAAGGTGTGAAAATTGTCTGATTCCACGCGCGGGCACTTTCAAGTCGAAGAAGACGAACTGTGAAGCATGCGTTTAAAAGAAGACGCTTCCTTTTACTTCAATTTAAAGACTTTTTCCTGCCAGGTTTAACAATAAGTATTCCTGACATCGGTAAGTGATGTATCTCTCAATTAATGTTTCAATTTGATTGTGTTTTCTCCCCTTTTTGTGTATCTGAACAAGTTGGATCGTTCACCATTCGATCATGCTTCAGCACTCATTTGTTTCAGTTATAATAAATAAGGTTGTTTTTATGTTTATTTGCCTTAAAAGCAGAAACTGGCACGCAAACAGCAAGCAATTGCAACAACACTTTGCGAAGAACTGCAAGCAAGCAACTGTATATATAAGTCACGAGGTGCCCCTGCTACAGGCATCAGGCCACCCCTACTATAGCTGGGGAAACTGCTGACCAGCATTGCTTCGAGGTTAACTTTGCCTAAATTACATTTAGCCACATTAAAATCTCCACTTTTCTGTTTGCAGATACTTATTGTTGCAGTCACAAGCAAAGCGTATGGCAATGACAAGCACGACATCAGCCAAGAGTCAACACAATAAGCAAATATTAAGCAAATTTTAACTTGAGGTTTTGATTCTCTGAAACTGCTGCATGAAAATACTGTATTTGCAATTGTGTTGCATAGTTTTTCATTTTTTGTTTCAAAATCAATTTCTTACTAATGTTCAAGGCATTCTATGTTATGTTTATGGTATTTTTTTTCTATTCTGGTGATTATTACGAGCGTATTTTAAACCTACATTTGCTTTATAAGCAAATCGAAACCTACATACATAAAAGACTAGGGTATGTCAAGACTATGTCAACTCTGTGTAAGTTCTATTTGAACTCTAGTTAAAGGCTGTGTGTGTGATATGTTTTACCTACTCCAAAGCTATTAAAATCCTATTTCAGACCTATGCAAAGACTATATTTGTTCTGTGTTTTCCCTATTTTAATGCTATGCAAAATATATGTCAACTTTAAGTGAAGGCTATATGCTTATGATATGTTTTCTCTATTCCTAGGCTATTAAATTCTACGCAAACCCTATTCAAAAGCTATTTAATCAACTGTTCCCTGTTCCATCTTCCTATGTAAAGTCTATTTTAGTCCTATGTGAAGGTCATTTATTTTCTATGATTTTTTATAAGGTTGACTATCCCTACTGTTAAAAACTGCATAGCTTTACGAAGGTTTCGTTTGACTAGCGAAAACATAGCATTTTTGATACAAAAAAAATAGTCCTGGCATACATGTAGAAACAACATAGGATCTGGTTAAAGCAATGTATGACTCATTAACAGAGGTTTTACATAGCTTTCTCACATAGCATTTGCATAGATTCTACATAATGTCTGATTCTACAAGGGTTAAGCTCTCTATTCTAAGGTGCTCACCTTAATTTTTGGTTTTGGATAGCGATATTCCCTTTCCTTTTGAGCTTTTTCCAGCTGTTCTCGCTGACGCTGCTGTTCCTCTTGCTGCTTCTTTTGCATAAGTTTCTTCTGTTGCTCCAAGATTCCAGACCGCTGATCAAGGTGGTACTGAAAACAACCAATCAACAGTTATGCCTCACTTACAATGGCTATACAATGGTTAATTCTATATTATTTTGGGGATCAAAGATGAAGTAGGCGTCAGTACATCACCTGTGGCCAACTTCCAAAGAAACCTACTGTAGAAAAAAATTATTAGCAAAGGGTCCAAATTAATTATTGGAGTAGGTTGCCCCCCCACCCCTTTATATCCAAAAGTCAAAGTGAAATCTAGTCGCCGAAGAACAGAAGCCATGCAGCAAGTTTTCCACTGTGACTGAAAATCTAGTCCCCATGAATATTACTGTGGTTCCAAGCCCTCTGGCTCTGTTTGAGTTTCTCAGAGTCTAAGGTCTCTTTTTCTATACTGTATCATTTCTCAAGCAGAAATTTAGAAGACGCGGAAAATACCATATTTACCCGTGTATAATGCACACCCTTAATTTTAACCACATTTTTTTAAAAAAACGTAAGACCAAAGAGAGGAAAAATAGCCACACACAAACTCTTTCTGCTGAAAGAGCAGTGAGTAGTGTATTAGATTCAGGTCACATACAAAAGAGTACCACAGGAAATTACTGTTCAACAGCTTAGATTTCAACCCTTTAAGTGCCATCATCAATTTTCTCCAAACAATATCAGTACGTAATCAAAGCAAAGGTAATGAAAACTGGTTAAAATTATCACCAAAAGAAAAATGCATTGATCTTTCATCAAATTTTCCCCACTAATTCCTTAAGGAAATGTATAGAAAATAGTTTGGAGAATTTGTATGTGGATATTGGGGCTTGAGGGTAATGATCACAACTCTATGATACCTTTATTTCATGCTGGTGTTGTTGTTGTAGTGCTTGCAGCTGTTGCTGAAAGTTCTGATACAACAATTGCTGCTGAAATTCCTGTTGTTGCTTTAGATGAAAGAACTCTGCAAGCTGGTGCTGCTGACTAGTTGACAGAATGAAGCGAGGAACAGCAACTCCTTCTGGAGTAACAGAGGCTGCATAGTGGTTGTTCATGTCTGAAAATAACATAAACAAACCAGTTGGCTATTTATAATAGTTGGGACTGGAATGGATACCTTAAAATCAGGTTGGGCACCTCATGTTCATTGGGCACATTTTTCAGAAAAATGAGGAAATCACAGTAAGAGACAGCAGGGCTCGAAATTAACGCTCGCAAACTCGCAAAATGCGAGTGATTTTGATAATCTGCGAGTAAGAAAAATATCCACTAGCAAACGATTGCGAGTTAGAATTATCCATGTCTCCCAAACAAAGGGAAATAAATTGCTTGTGGTCTCACCAGTTTGCTAGTCGAAAAAAATCTTTCTAGCAAAACTTTGCAAGTGCACTAAAAAGATAACTTCGAGCCCTGAGACAGTTGCGCAAGGAAAAGAGTTGAATACAGGGTTTAACACTGAAGTAGAGTGATTAAGGTGAGAGGACTACTCCACATACATTATCTCAAATGAAATCCAAATTATATTCTCACAACTTGCAAGGAATATATAATCACGGGTCTCGTCAGCAGATTTGTTTACTGATCATGTGCATTATGTCAAAAAGCCAAAGATAAAAGGTTTTGAGAAGGAACACGTCATCAATACAAGCTATAACTTTAGGGATAAAATGTAAAAAGGAGAAATGGCTCACACAAAAAAGGAATCAAAGGGTTAAAGTTTTATGTTTAAATAGCTTACCAGCATAGTGCTGGGCCAGTGGAACCACAGGAACTCGATTACTGCTAGTCGTCACTCTTGTGGGAGAGTCTGAAACAAAACACAATAAGTTACAGCTCAACAGTTTGCATCCCCAATGAGCTTTCCTGTAAATATATTTTGTTTACCATGAAACACCAAGGTGCTATTGGGAATTTGTTTACTGATGTTTCAAATTGGAAATTGAAGAGATCAGCACAATCTCAAAAGATTAGAGTGTATTTTTTTAGAAGAAAGGAGAACTGGAGTACCTGAAAACCTGAACAAGGGAGAAAACAGCAACCTACAGTACTTTGTTGGCAAGGAGAAGGGCTCAAAGTTAATGACTGACTGGTCACATATGCAACTGAATGTTTGGTTGCACACCTAAAAAATCATGTCATACCGCACCTGTGTGCTATAAAACCCAAAGCACAATGCAACTGACTTGTTTCCCTACTTCCTAACCTGACCATACTTACGTACTGGAACTAGTAAGACGTTAAACAGTAGCTTCAAGCAATGAAAGTAAAAGTAACTATGTAGAAATACCACAACCAGGCTCTAAATAATAAATTTATATTGTTTTCCTTTCATCTGCAAATGTATAATTCGTCCTTTCTCCTACTGGATTCCACTAACTCGAATGTTCACTTTCATTTTGATGTTTCTAGGTTGTTTTTAGGGTGTTTCTGGGATGTTTTTAGGTTTTAGAATTTTCCACTGTTTTTAACCTCTTCTACATGCAAGCAATCACCTAATTCAATGGTCTACTCAGAGTATGAGGAGAACTTTAAACCTTTCATTGCCAAATTTAGCCAAAAGCAAATTTCAACCAAATTAAAAACAAACAGCACCATGTGTAAGTACAAGCAGAGAGCTTTCATTTGAATGGTCAAATCATAGGATTTTGTCCACAGACTTAAAAGTTAGAGTCACCTTAAAAAACTCCATCAAGTACTCTGGCAGTGAAAGGGTTAAGAAACAACTTGGATTTACATACATGTACATGTACACGTATATTGTAACCTAGAAATACAGCTGTAGCATGCAGTAAAATCTCTTTAAAAAAGTAGACGTGCCTGGACTTCTTCTCGTAAAAGACCTCCTGCAGTTTGACTCTTTTAAGCGACCACTTACCATAAGTGACTATTAACTCTTCGCATTTTTGGTGTTCGCTCAAACAAGTTTTAACTGCATCATCATTTTTGGAAGTAAAGCTGAGAAAACTTCAACGTACTCACTACCGGTAATCTATTTTAACTACTGGTCATGGAACGACAAGGAAAGTGACAGAAAAGAATCAGGATTTTGTTAAGTTGGAATTTGCATTTAAGTTATAGCATTTTGTTCTGAATCTACAGCAAACAACACATGTTCATGGCATTCTGCTATTTGAATAACAAAAGCAGAGAATGGCTACCTAAGTCTAAAATTGGAAGTCTCAATATACCTTTTCCCTCTTGTACTGTAGAATTGCAAGTACTCTACAATCCTCATCTGTGACAATATGATTATAAAAAGCTATTCAAATCCATTCTCTGCATACACTTTTTATCACTTTTTTAACAGGAAAAAACATCCTTCCTTGTTCAAACCGGGCAAACATCTTTCCTCGCACGTGAAACCCATGTTGGTGTCTCTGATTAGCTCAACTCATTTGCATAACAAAATTTATGACATGGCTTTTCAGTAAGAAAGTCTCTGTATGCGTATAATAAATCATGTTATCTTATTCCGGAATCATTTTTACTACCGACAAAAAACAAAATACACCTTTTATATTATATTATTTTTCTGCAGCAAGACTGACAAAATTTTAAGAGGGTATATTTTTCACTTGGAGCAGGTGATCTTTAAATTTATGTTAATAAGGTTTATTTTTAGAATGAGGATCCAAAAAGCCTTAAAACTGGCTGATCACAGAACACCTAAGACAATAAACTAGCAGGTTGCCATGATTTGTTGAAATACATATAAATACAAAAATTTTGAAAATCAATGACTTCCTTGTACTACATTCTGTTTACTGACAGAACCAAATGTTAAGCATTAGCTGTTTTCTTTCTCCCTTACTTTTAAGGGTGGCAAAAATAAAATTTGGGGAAAATCCACGCTAAATAGTAGTTATGAACCAAGGCAAGCTAAGAAGGATTTGTATGGAGTCATCAGAGCAAAACATGGCTAGTATCTCAAGACAAGTTGCCCCAAAATGCTAGTTTTAGGCAAGGAGGCCTTTTGGATTTTGGTTTTTCAGAATATTCCGACAAATCCCATAATTTCACAATAATTTTTACTTTCATGACAACATCACTTTAGAACTCTATTTTGTACGATAGAGATAAATGGAAAAATGCAAAAGTACTGCTGAGAAAGTGCAATTTAAATGGACACAACAAAGGACTTTCTCCACACACCTGAATGTCTAGAATTGCACTATATGTTCTATATATATTGAATATGCTAGCCTGAAAAATAAGGCTGACCACAATTTTGCACTGAATTATTATATAACCAACAATGAAATACCAGGTGAGTAAAAACATGATATCTTTACACGCAAAACAATCTCCATTGCTATGGCTACAATATGATTGGGCCTTTTCAGCAAAAAATAATAAAGTGAAATGGTTTGGTATTTCACTGGTGTTTATATTTAAATAGAACATTACATGGCCATTTGGAGGTACACAATATTTTTTAAACACGAGAAGAATATCCACACGGCCACGTAATATCCTCCACCTCTTAATTATGGAAAGTGCCTTTTCTACCACTTTGTACATATAATCTACAAGACATACTGATGGGAAAAATTGTCTTCCACTTTCATGACCTTGAATTTGCAAACAAGTGTTATAGAAACCATCTACTAAGCTGTTTTACTATAACTTGCAGTAGATTAGTGACAAGCACTCTTAAAATACTAGATACTCAAGAAATATAAAGTTTTACATAAAAAGAGTGAGAACAAATATAAAACCTCTTTTCAAATAGACCTTTTTACCAATACTGCAGTCATATTGAATCAATTAGATTTAAGGAGAATTACGGGATGCCCAGGGTGCATGAGCACAATCCGATATACTCGCTCTGTATTTACGTACAATTTTTGGGCCAATTTTTCTTTACATTTTCCTAGAAAAAGATTGTAATGGGAAAAATATGTCATTGTGCCATGCTTGCATGTAATAATGATCACCTTTTTCCTACGAAATAAACAGTTAAGTTCTCTTTTTGCCCAAAAAGTGCGCATTAACACTGAGCAAAAGCCCCCTGGGCATCCCATAATACTCCTTAGATCTAATAAATTCAATATGGCCGCCGTATCGGTAAAAAGGTCTATTAGTAATATTTGGGGGAAGCTCCCTCCAGCTCTCTTCCTAAAACAATGTAGTGATTACACTTCAATAAAGAAGTCAAATTTCTTCGTGTTTCTGAGCAGTTCATTAACACCTAACCTCTTGTAATCATAATATAAAAACAAAGATATTTTTCCAGGCTTTATAAACTATATGCTAGCCCATTGTTGGCTATTATCCACTACTCCAATGTCTGCCTTACTTTAATTCACTTTTACTTCTCTACATTTTATTTTTTCTCTTATTTAGTTTATTTAGTTGTGTCAGAACACTTGTTTCTGTCATGTACAAGAATTAATTGCTTTTATTATTTATTATGTAAATTACTGTTGTTAATATAGCTGGGAAAAATTCTATTGGGTTGAGACGTTGACTCTTTGTCCTCTGACAAAGTGCTGTCTCTAATTTGCCTGTCATTGCCAACAGGCGAGTGGTGAGATCAATCAATCCCTTCTTCTATAGAAACCAAGTGGCCCTGTTCATTCAAGGAAAATGACATTCCCAAATATGATCTCGAAGGACTCCGGAAATTGACAGGAAAGATTTTGCAAATGCAGCGTCAGACAAGAATATGTGAAATAAGATTGTTAAAAGTCTCCTGACCAAAGGGCCGAATGATGATGATGATGATGACGATGATGATGATGCATCTTCAGGGTTGTCATTAAGAGCCGGGGGCCGGGGATTATCTCCGGCTACTAAGAGAGTGGCCCCCGGCTACTTTTATTGGAAAATAGAACAAAAATAGAACCAAAAGAAATCCCTAGCCGTTAGATTCCCCGCCTACTTGTTGTATTTACCCGGCAACTTGAAATCTTAGTGACAACCCTGCATCTTAATTAAACCAATGACCACAGCTAATAGAAAACAACTGGACTACATTCTAGGTACAGTTATTAACAGTAGGCTTGAGTTACACAATACCAAACATGCTACTTTCCTATTAACATTTCATATAACATCAGTGTGCAAAAAGGAAAGACATTTTTGAAGGCTTTTTGACCTTACTTCCGATGCCAGATAAAATGTGATGTAAATATATAATTTTTATTATTATTATTAGTTTCATTTAACTTCATGCATAACAGTTTTCCCTTAAAATAAACTGCATTAAAACAAACAAAAGAGAATCAATCTCCACTCTTCATTTTTCATCAGTTACTTCAAATAACCTTTTTAAAACACTGAATTACACCAAGTAAATTTCCTCAACAAGTCTATTTTAGTTTTGTTTCACAAGCTGTTCCATCCAGAAACTGAAAATTCACCAGCCACACCAAAATGATTTTTCTGACACTGGCCCATTGGCAACAATGAGCCATGAAGAGCAAAAGGAGGAAAGGAACTCAGTTTATGGTCAGCATGCAAAGAAAGTAGTGACCGATAGCACGGGGCTAGCGATTTTGCTATCAGGCTAGTGAATTATGTTCTTAACGTGCCCAATGGGCAAGTGAAGTTTTTGAGGAATTCACATTACAGAAGAACTGTGAAATCAATTCTGCTCATCAAAATGTTTTTGGGGCTAGCTGAAATGATGTTTGGGCTAGTACATGTATATGCCAGCTTCAGCTTGCCCAAATGGCAAGCTTTAAAAATGACTTTCTTTGTACCCTGATGGCGTACATGCAAGCAAGCAAGAGGTTTATCTAGCGTGTATGAGGATTGACCTCCCAACTCTTTATCTCCTGAATTGCAACTTTATCAGATTAATACT